TATAGTCCACATAAGCTGACCTATGAGTAAAACATGAAACAGTGTGAGTAATGATTTATCAAACTCATCATTCAAGACATGTTGCATGGTGACATTTCCATGGTGACAAACGCTGTAGATGCATGTGCTCACAATTCATTGATTAGTCACTCATCAAATGCCAAAGAAAATAAAGGGAAAGACATCAAAGCATAAAAAGTCATGCTTGCTCATCTGCAACTCCTGCTTTTTGAGGATTGTAGCCCTTTAAAAACTTTTAAAGTTTTACCCTGTACAAAAATATTTTATTAAGTTGAACCCCCCCCTGAAAAAAAAAATACTCACAGATGGTGTCCAGCCACAGTCGGTTAGAGCTCTCGCTGTTGACGGCATTGCTGGCCACACAGCGGTACCAGCCAGTGAGGTTGCGGTTGACATCAGTCACGTTGATAACGCTGGTGTTGCCCTGTGCAAAGGTTGAGATGTTGCCACTACGGGTTTCATGTTGCCACAAATACTGGATTGGCCCAGTCCCATTTTCCAGATTGCAACGCATCCACATTGTAGATCCTTCCACTGGAGATGCATCACTCATCAGGAGGTACGGTTTACTGACAGGAACTGTGTTCAAGATAAAGTCAGATATGAGGGTATGTTTGCTGAGAGGACCAGTGAGTATGATTTAATTGCATCTAGCGGTGTAGTTGCAGATTGCAACTCCCTCACTTCACTCTCCCCTTTCAAGCGCGAAGGGGAAACTACAGTGGTCTCAAAACGTGAGAAAAATGTGAACGTCCCGATCTAGAGCCAGTGTTGGGTTTGTCCTTTCTGGCCTACTGTTGAAACGTGGTTAAACATGGTTAAACATGGTGTCGCAACCAAGGAAGGTGACCTTCGGCGTCGTCAATACATACAAAAATGGCTTACTCAATTTAACTAGTTGTATTGACAAAGTTATAGTTGTAAAATACAAGATAGCCGACAAATACAAATGTTATATTTTAATGTTTAGATACTCTTTGAGTTTTTATTTTTTCATCTTTGAACAGAGCCAGGCTAACTCTTTCTCCATTTTTTTCTAGTCTTAATGCTAAGCTAAGCTAACTGATGGATCTTAAAATGGCTGAGTTGCAATTAAAAATTTTTTGCTAAGCTGTTTTAAGCAATACTATATTACACGTGTTGAATGTCCAGGGTTGAACTTTCACACAATAAACACTTGTCACAAAACACCCCAAATTGAAAAGACTTGTAAGTTGTTATCTTGTTGATTTTCCTCTCACAGATCACGTCCAGATGCATTATTTAGGCATGTGTGTTGGAGAACCACTCAATAAGAGAGTTCCCAGTAGAGTGACCACTGGTGGATCAGTATGATAATTGGAAATGTTTGTCCACCAGAGAGCACTGGTTTGGTTTAGTGCACATGGTAGTCCTTACCAAAAATGTTTCTAGTATCAGTTGAGCTCTGGTATCAAGGTGTGGTTTGAGGTTGGGTTTGGATGTGCAGGCAGATGCTTATTAAAGATGGGATAACAGTGGCGGTGCAGGTGGTCTTACCTCTGACAGTGAGGTGCACATAGTAGTAATAGACTTTGGGCTCCTTGTCTATGTCATAGAAGGCCTGGCAGGTGAACAGGCCATGTGCAGCCAGAGGCAGTTTCTCGATGCTCACAGCCGCACTTTTTGAGATGACCGTCAGTTTTCCGAGCGTCTTTGCCAGGTTCTGGATCCTCGTTCCTTTCCCCAAATCATACACCACAGCTCTTATAGCTTCAGTACCGGGTTTGGTGAAGCTCCATATGTACATATCAGGTAAGGTGGGACCGCACTCCAAGATCACTGCTTTGCCCACCACCCCATACACACGGGTGTCCTGGTACACCACCTCCCAGTTCTGATTGATCTCCACCGTTGGCTGTGCTGAAGGGGAGGACACACAGACATGCAGGCAAACGTTTTGTGTGTGAAGGAAAAGGAGACGGTGGTGTCGAGTGCACTGCCAGTGTTCAGTTGCAGGATTGATTACACTGTAATTTTGCTGTAATAGTTTGATAAGGGATTCCGAAACAAACAACCTCATTAGTCAAATTACATCTTCAGTCACATTCAATTCATCAATCATCTATTGCTTCTTTAGCTATTCTCTTTTTCTATTACCTTCTCACAGATCATATGTCATACCAGTCGATATATACTCTAGTATGTTGTTTGGTGTAAACTTTACACTCTACCTCCTGAGGTACACTCATCATCCACTAATCAGAAGGTTGGAAGTTTGATTCTTGAGCAAGATACTGAACCCCAATTTTGCTTCCATTTATGTGTGTGTGTGTGTGTGTGTGTGTGTGTGTGTGTGTGTGTGTGTGTGTGTGTGTGTGTGTGTGTGTGTGTGTGTTGATTGGGATGCATGGCAGCCTCTGTCATCAGTGTATGAATATTTGTGAATGTGATGTGAGTGTAGAAAGGTACTATAGAAGTGCAGTCCATTTATCATTTACCATAATAAAACTGACATTCAGTGCAATAAAATGTGTTCTTCTGTTACGCATTACATCAGACAGAGCTCCTCACATCGGTAAAACCGGTATATATTGAAGATATGTTATGTTTTATATCCGTCATATGACCAATGATTAAAACATATATGCTTGATTAAGTTGATTAAAGTTGCATTAGCAAATAAGGATGATTGAGCACCATATAATAAATAGAAGGCTGGTATATTGCATGAACTCTGTACTGAGTTTGAGTAAATTAAGACAACTGTACATTTTTCCCATTAATAATACAAATTTAAGTGATTTGTATCAAACATTTTTGTTCCTGTTAAGTGTTACACATAGAATAAATATTATTGCTGATAGAAGGTTATGAAACTATAGTATCAAATGTAGTATCTGTTGTGCTATACTACAAAATTCAGTCAACACAATCACGACAATAAATGATAAAGATTTTTTTTCCCTATTAGCAGTTCTCTTAATTTGTCTTATCAACCATTCAAATCATGTGATATAGAAAACCAATTTTTAACTGCCACTCAGATAAGTCTAAATGAATCCACAGACACTGGACTTACCATATGTCGTAAAGGTGACCAGACTAGTAGGTAGAAATAGAAAGGCCAGCCCTAGCAGTTGGGCCACCATGGTATCATGATGATCCTGAGTCAAACAACGTCTTTACTCCAAAAATGTAGTTGAGATGATCAAAAGGTAAAACCTTCAAACCACAAAGGCTGCCTGTTGACGGCGTCCCTCAGATGGCTGAGGTCACGTCTTTTCCCGTCTCTGATCCAGAAGTTTCTTGGAGAATCCAGTTGCAGGCACTGACTTCGTTAGACTGAGAGTAGGAAGGGACGGACGGCCACTAAACTGATTTGGGCTCAATTATTCACGTGTTTTTCCTTTCTTTCTATCCCCTCTATCCCTCTTTTTTTTCTCCTGTGGGGTTAGAATAACACGGTGATACTGAGCTCATCTATTATACAATACAGACGCATGGGTGGACAGGTTAACTTTCCACACACACACCTGCACATTAACTAATAGCTGAAATCCAGGGTCTTCAAGTGGACATTCCTCCACACTGGTCTTTCATGTTATTTCGCACTTAAATCTTCTAATTCAGCAGTCAACACTGAAAATAGTTTACTTTTTCAGTCTTTTCCCTGTTCATGCAGATATAAACATCTTTCCAGCCAGCCTTACAGTGGATGCACACCAACAAAGAGGGATAAAAAACAGGGAATGTAAAAGGATTTTTATCTTCTTAGATTTTCTTTGCCCATTGTATGTTTCAGCGCAGGCTTAAGGACAAAAAGGTCTCATAGGCCACAAAAAACAAAAGTTTTAAAGTGTTTGCGGAAGTGAATTTATTTAGTTACAGTAAGGTCCTGCTTTATTTCCCTCTGGTCATCTTTGGCGAGTTGTAAATTTAAAGGCTCCAGATTTTAATTTCAGAGGTCACACGAGGACCAGAGAGCAGAGTAAACTCTACTGATGAGATTAGGATTAAAATAGATTTAGAAATCTGGCATTTCGCAACGATGGTCTGCGTTTCCTGCTGTGACCTCGACACTGCGGGCAACCATGTAAAGATGTAAAGCTTCAGTGTCCAGTTAATGAGACGCTGACTCATATTGTGAGTTTATGTGTTTCTAAAAGAGAATGGGAGGGAGGGAAATGTTGAGTGGACCCATGAGTGTGTAATGTGAAACGTGTGTCATGAATGAATGCAGGACAGAGATCAGTTTTCCTCATTTGGCAGAGACGAGGGCTGAAAGGCAGCAGAACCTAAACAAACACTGAGGGAACAACAGTGAATGGTTTGGTTTATCAGCTTTATCCAAAATAATAGGTTAAAATTGGTTAAAATTGTAATATTTCTCTTCAGTGGTTTATCACAGTGTGAGGTCATTTTTATTCTGATTTAATCCACTTAATAAAACCATAAAATGCTGAGTTTACAACCAATATTTCACAGACTTGAATGTACTGTATTATATTGGATTGTTTGTGTGTTTTTTAACACTCTCTGCTTTCTTCTCTTTGTATTTCAACTATCTAAAAGTGAGGGAAGACTACATATAAACATGAAAACGTTGAAAAGATGCAGCTGAAGAGAAAAGGATGTAAAAATTGAGGCTCATGCTGAGCTGGCCGCTGAATCTAAAGCTCAACATCAAGGCTGGAAAGTCTGATGAGAGCTGGGCGCAGTGCATCTGTAGCTTCTAGTGTGCCTGTGGAGTTGGGAATTCATTGTTAGGGATTTTATCAGCACGCAAAAGCAGCTTTAGACACAAAGGGCAGCCTGGGACTCTGACAGAAACTCTAAAAGAGCGTGTGTGAAAGATATGTGTATTTCTATGTGTGGATGTAGAAGTGGTTGTGGAACGCAACTCAAAACAAACGTGCTTTGGATCGCTTGGGTTGATGGAAATGTTATCACTGCCAGCAAATGCAATACAATCTCATTTTAAACCTGCAACAACTTTTGGGGTTTTTGGTCTCTACCAGCTACAGGAAATATCTGGCTGCTAGCCCAGGATAAATGAAAACCTTGAGGGGGAGTCCCAAAGTCTGGGACTGGACTGACCAACAGACTGATATTGGCATCCATCAAGCTGCTGCTACCAGGTTAGACATGCCTCTGATAAAATTAGCGACAGAATTACTCTAAAGAAAAAGAGTGTACAACAGACTTTTAATTGTTAATGCATATTGTGTAAATTGTGAAGAAAGAGTTGAAGTTTGTGTGATTCAGTCATTGCTGATATAAGTTTACATGATCATTTTTATTTAAATGCTAAAAATTCAAGGCTCGTCCAACAACCAGTGTCAATACTAAAACCCACAGATACCACAAATAAAAACATCAATTTCATATATCAACAAAAATGTCTTCAGTAAATAAAAATGATTTCTTTCTTTGCAAAGAAAAACACATATGATACAAAATACAGTAAAAGTATTACACGGGAACAGGAGGTAAAACCAAAAGGTGAGGTATGCTGTTCCTCAGTAAAGGGATTGTCAGTGTGTACGACGCAGGATAAAGAGAGTGGGCAATACAGATAAAGTAGTAAAGTATAATCTTTTTTTTGTTTTCGTTTTTTTTTTTTTTTTTTACAAAATGAGGATAAAGTAAGGAGTCAACCACATTGGACATCAAAAGATAATCCTATCCAGTCAGTTGGAAGTTTTTCCAATCAAATGTAATACATCGATGCAATATACATTTTTCCAATGACGGTCAAATCATCTTTAATTTGACCTGCCTCAATCGAAAAAACTTAAACTTGCTGGCAAGCATTTGAAACATAGTATAACAATCTTCCCTTTTCAAAGAACACAATAAAAAAAACGGACAAAAGACAGAAAATGTTTCGAAATCAGACTTAATTCCAAGCCCAAAAACAAAAGCTGCATTGACCTTTGACTTCCAGAGCCGTCCACAGTGGTGCAGACAGTGCAGAGACGCTGCCTCATTGTCCAGGGTTAATCAACCTCCTCTTAGGAAAGGTTCAGGTTCAAATCGGGTTGTGTGTCATCTGAGCTCACTGAAAGAGGTTTGAGTTTGTAACAAAGTTCAGACGTACTGCTCTTTAGGAAAAGTGTACGCCGCCACTCCCGGGGGAGGAGAAGACAGGCCCTGTACCGAGGGATATTTAAAGATGGCCGTGGTGTGTGAAGGAGGAGAGAAGGTGTTTTTTGATGTGGCGGTGCTGCTGCTGCTGGTTGCAGGAGTTGGTTGTGAGGACTGGTATGGTTGTTGGGGCAGAAATGAGAGAGGAGGGTTGATGGGAGGGGAGTAGGGCTCTGGGTAGTCCTCTTTGTTACAGGCAAGCCTGTAGCTCACGTAGTCCGCTGTGTTTGGAAGCTCTTCATAAAACCGTCCTGAATGCTGAGGAGAAATGAAAGACATATATTAAAGACCTATCAAAATAAAATAAAATACACATACTTTACAACTGGTAAAGCAGATGTAGTCCTTAAAGGTACCCTGGTTGTGAGGTTTCTGACTTTCTAGAAGTGCTATGGAACAATGTTTTTATGAACGGGTCTGTTTGTGTTTGTGCACACGCATGAGGATGCACGTGCACAAACACAAGCACACAGGCAGTGAAGAATAAAACCAATTGTTTTTACACAGTTCTACTGATCTATAGGTGGCAGTAACGTGACAGGAAACAAAGACAACGTACAAGGGCTCCTTGCAAGTAAAGATTTTCCTAAAAAATCGGCTTTGCAAATGTTTTAAGAGGAAAATGATGCATTCAACACATTTGTTTGACCTCAAAGATACGCAAAATTCATTTTGGTGAGTTACACTCAATGTAAACAGAAAACTCCATAGTGCACCTTTAACGCCCTGTCACACCAGAAGTGGCATAGCAAGATTAATCTGACATCATAAATTAACTTTATATACTTGTTGTGGCCTCTAACAACAAAATGGATACAATAATAAAAGAAGGAGGAAGAGAAGGAAGGCCATTATGAAAAAGTTGTATCACACAGATAATTTAATAGCTTCCTCTATTACGGACTCCTCTTTAATAGCTTCCTCTATTACAGACTCCTCTCTCCGTTCCATTAAAGGTCAGCACTGTGACGGTAGTTTGGAACTGGTCAATGCTGCAAATTCACATTCATGCAAAGCACGCCAAGAGAAAATCATCTGATCAGATTCTACTGTGATTTTGGTCTGAAATTTCACTGTTATAAATGACCATGCCCTTAAATACATGTATTCTTACACATTATACTTAACAAAGAGAGAGACAGAGACTCCAATACATTCCACATAAAGATGTATCTATTTAATTTAAGGCTGATCTACAATAAGAGCTGTTTAAAATCTGACTGCAAATGCTGTGATAAAAGCATTAGCTATGCTAATAAAGTCCTTTAATAAGACTGGTAATTCAAATACTAGCTAATTTAATTATATTTATGTCTACGAGTGGTATTAATGACCTTAAATACTCATGATCTACCCCTTTATCACTCTTATTAGCCCCACTTCAACCTGAGCAGAGGTCTAAAAAGCCAGAATGATTGATAACACCTGCATATGTGTGTAAAGCATTTAATATGAATTATACATCTTACAGAATTAAAGAGCATTTAAAACCTTATAAATACAAAAACGTTGCAAAAATGATCATGGTGGCCGAGATTAAATTCAGGTTGAGTTAATTTAGAAAATATAAATAAAAGCTACTAAAACTACTTAAATATTACCAAACACAGTAGAACAATGTACTAGATATGCACTGTGGGGCTATATTCACAAAGGATCTTACCACTGGGAGCCACTAAAAGTTCCTTACTAAGTTTCCTCTTAAGAGCTATTCACAAAGCACAAAACTTAAGGAACAGAGAACTCCTGATGATATCACTGATGATATGGATAACATCATGAGTGAACTCCCTCACTATGTCCATGATTTGTGTTTGACAGTTGACCAGTGACCCTAAAAAACTGAGATAATCAGCACTGAAATTTGTATTTTAGAAATACCCACCACAATTTCATAAAATCTTAAGTAACTAAAAGCTCCCTGACAACTCTTTGAATGTGTGACATGTAAATTGCAAACACAACAAATAGGTTACCTGGATATCATCTCCTGGTCTTTTCCTTATCGGCTGTGACAGTTTACTGGACGGAGAGTCGCTTCTGATCAAAAAGGAAAAAAGGGAATGAAAGATGGAGGATGAGGGTGTTAATAGAGGATATAAAGCATGTTGGGATGAACAAGCATGAGAAACAAAGGGATGGAGGGATAACGGACAATTTACTTACGAGGAGTCGTCCTTTCTACTTCTTATTTTGAGCACCAGGACTGTGATAGTGATGCCCATGAGCACTCCAGCAGCTAGTAATAAGGCAACTACGCTGATGACATCACCTGTCGCGATCTGCGGTAGAGGCTTTTCTAAAAGGAAAACACACACATGTGAATAAAAAAAAAAAAACATTCACTGTTTACAGTATCTTTTGGATGTACAGTAAGTGTCCTGCTACATTCACGTGGATTCAGGCAGACAGCAGAGGGACAGCACCTTCCTCACAGCACAGGAAAAACAAACAAACAGTAAGCAAAGAGAAACGCGCATTACCATATGTTGCTATGGTGATGAATGGAATAAAAATATAAAATGTAAAAATTAAAATCGTGTATATCATTTTATTTCATTTATTAATTATAAGTGTCTCGTTTTCCAGCTTGCCCATGTTTTCTCCGTCTTTGAGGGAGCTACGTAACATCCGGTTTTAAATTCCGTTGGGGAGTGCGGCAAAAAGTTAAAATTTTTTAACTGTAAAATTATATTTTACTGTTGCCGTCCTGCTCTCATCCACTAACATGACATACGGTTTGCTGTCTACTGTTTGCCTGAATCCATGTGAATGCAGCGTTATGCAGGTAAAAAAAACAAAGCAGAACAGAATAGAATTCAAAAACATTATTAGTAACAGTAATAGTAGTAAAAGTAGTAATATCAGCAGGAAATCTTGTAAATTTTTTACCCCGGACCCCGGGAAAACGTACCTATAATGCTGACCTCCACAGAGCCTGATCGTGTCCCGATGCTGTTGGTTGCATCACACACATAGGTGCCTTGCACGTCATATGTGATTGGCCCTTTAAAGGTAAGGACGTTGTCTCGGATCTCAGCATTGCTCGGTATGGTCCCATTTATCCTGCAGAATATACAGAAAATAAAACTTATAGATAAATAAAAAGCATAGTGCTAATGTGAAATCAGGCATTTTAGGCTGCAACAATCCCCCAAAGAAAGGCTGTGAAATCCTGGAGTGACTGGATAAGGTGGTCTCACTTTGACAGGAAATTCAAGTGTAAAACATATAAAGTTGTACTCACAGTCTCCACTGGTACAGAGAGACTGCCGGGTTGGCATCAGCTTGGCAGCTCAACTGGACGTTCTCTCGGTTCAGATACCAGTTTCCATCAAATCCATCGACCGAAACCTCTGGCTCATCTAGTACACACACAAGCACATAAAAATATCAGACATGTACAGTAGCTTGTAATTTAACTTGTGTACTTTATTTTACCTGTATAGTTATGTACTTATTGGCATGTTTGAGAAAGACTTACACTGAATATCGAGGGTGATGCTGTCAGTGAAGACCTCCTCGTTGTAGGTGGTGACACAGGTGAGCGTCTCCTTGTGTGTTTCCCTGCTGGGCACCAAAATGTAGTCACTCTGAACAGTCACCGTCCCGTCTGAGTTTTTGTACTCTCGGGTGGTCACTTCTCCCGGCACCCTCGTCTCCCACCTGCTCACATCAACGAGGGATCAGTTTCATTACACAGAGACACGTTGATGTAGGCAGATTTGTGGTTAATCGCACATAAACACACACACGAACCTGATGGTACCAGGTGGTTTTCCATTGGCAGAGACGCAAGTGGCTACAGGTGTTTTCAGATTGGAAGAACGAGCCACCAGCGTCGGCGTTGACAAACTCATCTGGGTTGTAGGCCGAACTGAGGAAATAAAACTAAATACATGGAGTTCATCTAGCATAATAATGTGTTTTTTAAGCACAATTAGTATAATGTTTAACTTATGGCGGCCTATTCAAGGTGCTGACGTTTTCATTTCCTAAAAAGCTGGCAATGGAAATATAGTCATTATTTATTATTTACAGGTAATAATTACCCCATGCAATTCAGACTTGAAGTCAAAAATTAAAAGGTGAAATACTGATACAAATTTACAAAAATTACATTTTCACATTGTTGGCTAACTTTCTATTTAACATGCAAGTGCAGTATATACATTTTTTATTTATGTTTTCATTAAAAAAAAAACATTTCTACGCTCAGAAAACTAGTAAAATACTATATTGTATGTGAAAGTTAATTCTTGACTTTGGAAATAGTACTTTTTAATAAAAATAAATCTTAAATTAGTCCTTTGAAATACAACGTTATGTGCCATTCAACACCTTTAAGGAATATTTTGGCATGTGGAGTTAGATGAGAAAATTGATGCCACATATTTTTGCCAGGTGGTGGTTAGCTAAGCTTAGCACAAATACTGAAAACTAAAGCTCATAAATGAACACATTATATCTTGTTTGTTATATCTCAACAAGTTGTGGTTTTATTGGGGGTCATGTGTCACAGAACTTCTTAGCCAGGAGCAGTGACTTCCTGGAGTTGCTGGTCGACGATACGACTGATCCACTGATGAAATGAGGTGAAGTTAAATGGTCCAGTAAAGGTTAGTAAGTGGACCTTGAGTACTACAGTAACCAAGGTCTTCACCACTGATTGTTTCAAACCTGCAACTTTAACATCCACAGTTTTATATCACTGTAACAATCCACCTGTATTTCACTAAGATCAGATCCTCACACATCTGTCTTACCATACACAGTGAGGTTTACGGTGTTTTCTCGGTTCCCCGCAGGGAACGTGGTGTATTCACAGATGTAGGTTGACTCGTCAGAAAGGCGGAGCGAGGAGAAGGTGATGGTGGTGTCTTCAAGAGTCGGAGTCCGTCGCCTCACTGCTCCATTCTTGAAGGTGACGCGGTCCCTGTAGGGCGGGGCCACGGACACACCCAGGGAGGGATTGGCGATCGCCACGTTCTGCTTTGTGCCGTTCACCAGTTTCTGCCATGTTACCTTGAGAAATAAGGATGGATGACATTTTACACTGGTTGTTTTAGAATACCTGTACATACATGCTTCATAACTCATGTCTCTCTCATATCTGATGCTTTTGATTGATAAAAGCTGCCTGCTGTGGACAAAAAACACTATGAGAGTGGGGAGAGTGAATGAAAAGAGTTGCAGGCCAGACAGCAAAACAATGATCTGAAACTGTAAAGCCAAGTGGAACCGCAGATTGAGGTAATCTGATCTCTTTCACGTTGTCACATTTTTGACAACAATATCAATTATAGCTGCTTGATCATTTTACCATTAGTTGGACTTGGATTTAAGTATTTTGGAAACAAGGACACATACAGTAGTTTTCCCACCATTCCTCCTTATTGCTGTTTCTTTCTCAGCCCTTTGTCATGCACATGGTCACACGTAAACCCCCATTAGAAGCCCAGTTCAGCATAAACATAGAATAGAAAACAGGTTTCTCTTGCAAAAATGTTTTGGCCACTTGGGGCCAGTTGAGTACTCTGTATGTTGGTTTCTACTAACTCCTGATGGAAATATATTACTCTTTAGCTGCTAAATGTTCCACTATACTTGTTAACTGTGTCTGTCTGCTGTTTGGTGCTGAGAAGGAAGTGTACAGTGGGTTTCGTAGAGCTATTTTAGTGAAAATAACTGGTAACTGTGGTCAAAACTTAATTATAAAGCTTTCTAAAGCCGAAGGGAGGCGCTTCAGATGTAAGTGATAATTCTCTGTAAGATCATCAAAGGTTTATCAAGTTCTTTGGAAAACATGACCGGGGAAATATATGTGTGTATGTATATATATAGAAATCTGCATATATTTTGGTGTAATCCATGTGTTCAGGTAGACGACTGAATACCTGGGAGATTTTGACAGGCGGGGAGCTATTGATGAACCGACAGCGGAGATCCACCTTTGAGCCAACATAACCCCACTTTCCGTCATCCATTTCCACAGTCTGGCCATTTATTCCTGGAGGAGAAACACAAGATTTAAAAAATATTTTAAAACACTTTCACCTATGTTGGGCATACATACACCCACCCACACACACACACAAATCCGCACAGGTTGGCAGCATCAGACTGGCACGTTCTGAGCTGTTCACAGTCAGTGCAGCATGCTGAGCTGATAAAGTGAGCTGAGCTGTCAAAGATGATACATTCCAGCAGCGTGAGAGGTGAGCTGAGGTCAAAGGTCTTGGATTAAAGTGAGGTATAAATAAGCACGATTTGTTTGGTTACTGTTCTTACTGACTTACTGATCCCCTTCAGCAAATCCACAGCAGAGTGGAAAACTAAGTACATTTACTCAAGTACCTGACTTAAGTACAAATTGACGTCCCATGCTACTTTATATTTTTTACTCCACTACAATTATTTAGTTACTGACATGCAGCAAAGGGTTGAAGGTTGGAATCGAACCTGTGCCCCTGCGGTAAGGACTCAGCCTTTGTATATGAGGCACAGACTCACTGCCGCCCCACAAAAAGATTTTGGCTTAACAATATGAATAAATACCTTTACTATCATTGTACATGTACAACAAGATTCAGTGTGCCGTACGAAGCTACAAAGGAGGAAAATATAAAATATAAACTAAAATAAAAATAAATTGAGCAGCCCTTAAAATAAAGTAAAAAAGATAAATAGGCATAAAAAAGGAAGTTTGCATGTATTGTATGTGGGTCATAGTCTTGGATTTCTCTGGATGTGAAACTGAGCATAGGTCCATAGCACAGGTGAGTTTAAAAATGGCAGTGCGCTTAATAAGCAGTATCAGTAATGCAAACATATCAGTACAGTACAGGTAGGTAGCAGCTACACGTGGTTATTGACACATGCATACATGTACTCAAGAGAATGGTCCCTAAATCCGCAGTCTTTGTTCAGTTTTACTTTCTGTAAAAAATGTTTGAAAAACATTAAAAGTTACAGTACAGCCAAAACGGTTAATTGAAAGTTAATCTATTGCTGCTTATTCTGAAAATCATTTAGTGATTTTTCATGCAAAACCATGGTTCCAGCTTCGTAAAAATGTGAGGATTAGCTGCTTTACTATCTAATTATTTTAATCTATTTTTTGTAATTTTGAGGTTTGGAGTATTAGTATTATTAGAGTACAAAACAAGCATTGTGAAGGTGTCACTACAAACCAAACAAGTCAACAAACTACATCAGTAAAATCCTGCTTTTACACTGATGCATGAGTCATAATGATACAATTATATATTATAATAGTCTATAAATAAAAGGTAATTTTTCTGCATTAAATACTTTTACTTTTAAAGGTCCAGTTTGTAACATTTAGGATGTTCTATTGGCAGAAATGGAATATAATATTCATAGGTATGTTTTCATTTGTGTATAACCACCTGAACCTAAGAATTGTTTTGTTTTTGTTGTCTTAGAATGAGCATTTTATATCTACAGTGGGAGTGGCTCTTCTTCTGTGGAGGCCGCCATGTTGAACCACCATGTTTCTACAGTAGCCCAGAATGAACAAACCAAATACAGGCTCCATATTTTAAAAGTTGTGTTGAAAGGCTGAGCTGTATTCAAATACCTGCCATCTCCAACCTTTCACTGCTAGATGACACTGAATCCTACACACTGGTCCTGGTCCACATTTTCCTGATTATTCTATGTATACTATACTGTTGTATCAGTACTTTTACTAATAGGTAAAGGATCTGAATACTTCTTCCACCATGGAAGTTACATCCTATTTAATGTGGCAGGTTCATGAAGAATAAAGTTACTGTTATTCATGATGCATAATAATAATAATAATAATAATGATGATGGTAAACTGAACAAAACAGCTCAGAACAATGGCTGCTCTCATTCTCATACATACACAGACACTTTTCATGCTTATTATCCTTCATTGTACCTCAGTTAGTAAAATATCAGCCATCTTTAATTAAAATGTCTAGTCTTACCATCAATATTTCTTTATCATTACTAACTTTTTATAAAGAAAAATCTATTTTTTATAGTTAATCCATTCTTCCTCTCAGCATGGCAGCACCCAAATAGTATGAGATAAGTAAAGTGATGGAAATGCATCCAGACTTGCAAACTGCTGCAAATGTACTAATAAAAAGCATAACTTTGCCTTAATGTTCTCTAAAATACAAAGTATGTATTTCAAATGATTCAGTTTTGATTACATTATATTTTGTTTTTATTTACAGGCTGGAAAATATAATTTTTAATAACTTAATTTGAAACCTGATAAATACGCTCTCATAATGCCATAATAAAAGCTTAGCTACATAGAGTCAATTGTACACATTAACCTCATAAACAAGATGACCCTCTTTTAATAAGAACTCCCTGGTTGGCATCTTATCAGAGTCTCACAACAGGAAATGAAAGACACCGCGTTGCAAATATAGAGAGGATATGTATGTGGCAAAACACCAAAACCTTTCTCAATAAATGTAAATATGGAAACAGCCATGTCTGGCACTACTGTTAATCATAAAGATGAGATTTTATAGGATATTATTTACTTCTAAACACTTTTCACCACCCGTTTACTTTTCACATTGAACGCCACAAACCAGACAGAAATGGAAATTGGATTAAAGAATATGGGGCTGAATTAGACAGTGTGAATACCCAGGGGTGATTTCCATGTTTGAAATATTGGATTTTAAAAAAATAGATATAATTAGGTGCCATAGTTCAGTCGGTGGATGGTTGATGGTTCATCATATTGTCCAATATTTCCATGTTATAAATGGAGGAATATTGATCAGTCCATCAGTGTTCTAAAAACACCCGAGGCTGACAGCACAGGCACCAAAACTGACGCTGTTCATCCCACTGAAATATCCTCATGTAACCATGAAGTAACAATTTGACCTATAAAAAATATGTTCACATCCTAACATTTCTGTCAGAGCTGTGTAAGAGCTTCCTCCAGCAAACATGTCATTTCCTGCAGGGTCACAATACACAATAACTGACAAAACTCTGATGATTAGGGGGTAGGATATATAATAAATACTGCAATGTATTGTGATATATTCCAAAATGTTTACATTTAACTGACAAAGCTCTCCAGCAGTTGTACGACTGTTGGAGCAATAAAGCATCCAACTATGAAATGGGAGACCACCGATCACTTCCTGTCTCGTACCAGAAGTCAATCATTTATTTCAACCTAAACCACCACAAACCAAACTGTCTGTGGTCGAGTTGCATTGTGGGTAATGTGAGTGCCATGTTTTGAAAAATAAGATGAAAGCGTGAAACAAAATCAGACAATATTTCTGATTCTGCTGCACCGATTTTAAACCATCCACCGTGAGCCCGACACTGTAACAGTGATAAATACGTGGAGTAACAAACTATTTTATACGCTTTCTATCATAGCGGCTTCAGATTTTTTAGACTTTTGTTGTTCTAACAGTTTCGGAAGGCTCCGACATGCTGATATGGGCATCGGATGAATAAAACCTCACAAAGAATCAGATAAAAAACTGATCTGAACTGATCTATTAGCATTTAGGATTGATCTTTTAGATTTGAGTCTTGACTAACAAGGCATTACAATCCGAATACTCTGTACTCAAAATACTTTGGAACAGCTTTATTTAAATTCTCAAGACAACAAGAAAGTAGTCTTAAATTTATTTCCGCAGACATCTTCCTATAGAAATCATTCTTATTATTATTAATAATAATAATAATAAAATTTGGATTATATAATTATATTCATTACACTGTCTAATTCTGTAGTTTTAAGCAGTTTCATATGTGAGAGAGAGAGAAAAAAGTTCATTTAGATTCTAATCCGTAGACCTGATAGGGAGGGCAGAGGGAGTCTTGGGATCTAATGTTAGAAATGGCATCATAGTATTTCCTTCAACAATGAGCTGAATAAAGGTCAACCACAGACTGAGCCTGTGCGAGAACAGAAAGCCAGTGCTCTAAAGAGCGGAGGTCTTTGAAAATTCTCAAATCTCTCTAAACACTGAGCAAGAAGACATTCATATAATTTCCCATAAACCAAGAGAGCTCCAACACCAGCAGAAATCAGCAATTTTCTCACAAGACTTTACTGAAAAATTACAATAAATCAAACATTAAAAAAGTATTGTTTTACTTGAAGCGGACTTAAAGTTTATTTCTGACTAGGCCTATCTACTACAATAAATACATTTGTTGTCCAAGAAATAATAATTTTAACACAATTATATAATGATAAGCATAAACATGCATGTACACCCTTTCAAAGACTAATACAATATATAATTGGAATTGTAATGTGAATTATTATTTTTTTTAAATATCCTTATTAATGAAGCCACACAACAAAAAAATAAATAAAATGGACTCTCAGGTCAAACCAAGCCTCTAATAAAATATGATGATTAGAGAGTGCACTAATTCTCTACTTTAATGGATTTGTTTGGACTTGCGTTTTTTATATAAATCTGCAGAAAAAAGCATTTAATAAAAAATGCATTTGGTATAATGGTGTCGTGCAAAGCTTGGAAATAAAGATAGACCTCTTATGAACCATCTGCACTGCTGACATCAATTGTCAAAAATCATCACTTAATGTAAAGTACAACCTGAGCCATATGTGTGTTTTGTTATATTAATAAGTTTAATAGTATTGTATTAGAGCAAGAGTTCTCTGTGCCGTATACGCCAACTTTTAGAAACCATTGTGTGTTTGAGTGGGTCACTGGGAGGGAAGAGGGCCAGCAGTGGGAGTAGATTACAGCATTTAGTATATTAAAGTGCATCTGCATCATATAATTTATGGTCCATTTGCTGCTGTATGTACTGTATAATGGGCAACTCATAATTGTGTTTTATTGTTATGTTTTTACTGAAATACTGTGCATTCAGACCTTACAGGTTTGTTTGTGCACATGTGTTTTTGAGCCTTCATACCTTTAGTAGTTGAAACTACTAGAAGTTGCAGATTCATCTCAATCATCCAGACAGTAAAATGTCAAATAAAACACACAACTGAACTTGTTATGGGAGACCTTCCACCCTTTAACCAAATAACTTAATCCATGTTCCAAGAAGATGTAACCTAGGCGACATATTACATTTCCCCAATCTGCGATCATGTCCCCTGATGCAAAGTAAATCTATATCAACATAATCTGTAGAAAATTGAGTTACAGCACCAGAACCGAAAGAAGCTGTCTGGATGCAGAGTGAAACGTCTGTAGCTCTACAATAGGACGTTCACTGTGGAGTGTTTAAAACTTGATTTTCACATGAAGATAACACTTTTGTTACTAAAAAAGAAACAGATGATGTGTTAGGTTTACTGCTGAACTCAATCTGACCATGATAATGTTCAGTCTATCTGTAAGAGGATCACTGTATCTCTGATAGATGAAATGTATGATAGCATCTATTAAAGGAATAGTTTGACATTTTGGGAAAATATCCCTGAAAGCCTGTACGGTACATGACGCCACAGCCATTAGTTTAGCTTAGCTTGGCACAAAGACTGGAAAAAGGTGTTGTGTGCCTGGTACGTGAGCTTTAGAGAGACTGGTGGGCATATTTTGTGACCTTTAGACAGAGCCAGGCTAGCTGTTTCCCCCTATTTCTAGTCTTTGTGTTTAGCTAGTATGCTCATGGCTGTAGCTTCGTATTTACATTTTACAAATATGAGTGTGTTATCTTCTCATCCAACTCTCGTAAAGAAAACAAATACTAAATCCCAAAAATTTTAGCTATTCCTTTAAAAGATGTCCTTTAAAAAGTGCCACATTAACAAGTCTGTTAGTCATTTGTGCAACACCTGTGTTATATCAGTGAGTTAAAATATCTTTCACTTGTGTCTGATCTCTTTGTCTGAACTATTCTTAACACACATATAGACACACACACACACACACACACATCCCACTGAGAGTCCCCCCACTGAGCTCTGTTGCTGAGCTGATTAGGGGCTTTAGGTGAGGGCAGAAGAGACTGAGCCTACCTCTCTGACACAGACACACACACACAGACACACATATCTCATTGGCCCCACATCTCTCCCACCTTCCTCTTTTCTGTTGTGTCCATTCACATTCTTCTATTGTTTAGACTATGGGAAATGACCTCAGCAGTCCTCACAACAATAATCCATAAACAGCAGCACGAGACGACCATGGGAACGTAACAAAAACAATGGCAATATTGTTTCACACTTGAGTGTGCAACATGTATGAACACCAAGAGCATCACAGTGTGGTGCTGGGCTTTTTGTTTATATCCTGAGGGGATATCCAACATCTTTCCTCATGCTCAGTAGCCTATGTGACAACTCCATTTTTACCCTTTTCTGAGAGTTCAACAGAGAAACAGTGGAAGGTTTTTTTCAGGCTGTTAGGAAAAAGGATCGGAAAAGGTGCCTTAAAGCTTCATTAGTTCCTATTTACTCTCTTATTCTTTTTTAGTAAAGAGTTTTATTAAACTTTTAACCTATTTAAGCCGGAAAGCCTCACTGTGATTTAAAAAATGAATCACTCTAATACAATTATATTAAACTGCATGATTTCAAGGCTCAACAAACTACGTCTACCTTCAGCCTCGCTCACTTGGCTACCAGCAGGCCACAAATAGTAAAAATCTGACTTTGTGTGACAGATGAGAAAATGAAAAGCACACAGAGAGAGAGAAAGAGTAGAGGACAGATTAACTGTTTAATCTTTAGGCCATGAAATCTGAGATTGATCAGGGATTACACACTGTGTTTGTGTCTTTGGCTTTATGACTTACAATGAAGGGAAACGTGAAGCAGAGTAAAGACCAAATGAAACACGCACAAAAACCCACACAATGCTGGAACTAAAACCTCTCAGATGCAAAACTAAGTGTGGAGGTTCAACTGGTTTGTGATATGACTATATAGTATCTGTGACTATTTCACGTAGCAGCTCTCTCTATGTGCTGAACAAAAAGACTGCACAGTGTGACAGAAAGAACAACTTAACCAACGAGTAGAATAGAAACTGACTTTTGGACATGCTTTTATGTGTGCTCTTCTCCATTTTTGCCTGATTGAAATGGCGATAACACTTCTTCTCCCCTCTCGTTTTTCCCTGAATCAATTATAATCTCTCATTGTTTTTGAACCGAGATCAGCATGCACACAGGGGTATATGTGTGCGTGTTTGTGTGGGTGTGTAATCTCTGTGGCACTGCAGGAACGTGGAGTGTGCACTTGGCCGGTGTTCAGCGGTCGGCTCACAGGATTATGATGACTTTTGCTGCTGCATCTGTGTTTTGGGGACATGAGATGAGAATAAAAAAACCCAAAGAGAGAGAGGAGATGGAGAGAAATGAAGAAAAGGCCTGTAGGGGAAGATCAACAGACTGAGAGGAAGAATACACAAGCTTCAAATGAGCCGACTCTGGAGAGGGAGATGCAGAAAGAAGAGACAAACAAAAGAGGAAGAGGGTGACAGAAGGGTTGTGTGTTTGTGCTGGATTATTTCTGTGGGGTTGCATCTGTGTGTTCCAGCTGTGGACAGTGGATTATGCTAAAATTCATGAGGACGCCTGTCTGTCAGTCTCAGTCAGCCTTTTCTGTGTCTTTCTGCAAACTTTTAGTCTAAAACTCAACAGTGACTGCCTGCAACAGAGCTCACATCTACCTGCTGGGGCACCCTATAGAGGCTGACAGACCTGTGGAGGCGCTCTGAGTCTGCACCCACCAGGACGAGACAGATAGACTGCAGCAACAGTCAGCAGGCTGGGACTTGGCAGCGATTGTGTTGTTACACCCTTCCTGCTCCCTGTGCAGCTCTAATCCACTGCTCTGTCCTTCAACATGACAATCCTACACACATGGCGCGGCCTCACACTCAGTAATAACACACACACACACACACACATATGTACACCAGCAAATTACTGCTCAACATGCACAGGGGGGTTTATGACTGACCGAGTGAAAAAAGCAATCACAGCAGATGTCACAGCAGCTCAACACATCCGTATGCTGTCACAATAGCTTTTGTCATTACGTAATATGTATACCACGGGCCCCTTTTTTATTACACAGCCACAACTCTGATTCCAGTGTTGGCTTTAGCTTAGTGTGATCACACAGCTGCATCTGTTACAATGAGGCAAGAGTTAGTCCATTCATTCAAATACACCCCCTCTCTCTCACCACACACACACACACACACACACACACACACACACACACACAACACTGTAAGACGTGGGGACACCATCTGCACATCTTATTGTGATTAGACCAGTGCACCGGCTGAAAACAGACCAGTTCAGTGACACTGTGACGGACTGACTGAAATGGTCTGATTTGACTTCTGCACTGGTCAGGAGTAAAGTTGTGTAGTTTCAGAGATTAAATCATTTGGGTATGAAGATAAGAGGAGTTTGATCCTCTGAGTTGCTCTCAATGAAGCAAAGCTGGCACTAAGAGGCTGAGCAGCAAATAAAATGAGTGAAAACAGCAAAATAAAAATTAATGGACCTAAAGACTAGATTATGATAGATTGAGATTATATTGAGAATTAACTTAATTCTAAAAAATAAAGAAAATCTAATCAGGCACCCCTTATGGGGGGTTTGTAAGTTGTAAATAGCGGCTTTAGTAATAAATTTAGCTAATAAATCAGTTACAGATGCTTCATAGATCAGTTGTAACTCTTACTTACTAACATTTGTGCCTGCTGACATGATAAAAATCCACAGAGATCCAGAAGCTAAAAAGTTGTTCCTATTAATGGCTTAAAGCTGATCAATAAAACAGAAGCAAGTTATTTATTAATCATTAATTCACTAATTAAAACATATACACCCTTTATCAAGAGTGAATTATCAGTTAGTGGAAACCGTTTTTCTTTTACTTGTACTTAAATGGAAATCATGATGATGAAAGTTTTTAAATTGACACCTCTTTATGTTACCACTGTTTATTCCTATAAATACCAAATAATTTAGCAAAATAAAAGCCTGACTGAGTTTAGGCGTGTTTACTGTTCATTGAATGTACTTATTAGGCTCATGTTCCTTTTGCACAATCTTACTACTCCTTTGAGATTGGTGTAGACCTGATACAGACAATCAGGTCTTTCTCTTGATTCACATCACCAGTGTCACACTACTATTATTTAACAGGTGCTTTAAAAATAAAAAAAAATCAGAGTAACCTACCTGGAATAACACAAGTTGTTATCAAGAATATCCAAAATCCAGTGTTGTCCATGCCCAAACCACCGGTGCCAGCTTCTCGCTGAGGTTAAATTCCCAGTGTGGACTTGTTTTATGCGTCCTGCCTCCCAGACTGAACGCACGGCTGCAGGTTCAGTTTCAGGTCTGTGAGGCAGGATCCGGTCAGCTCTCAGTGTCACTCCTCCAACCAAGAAAAGATTTCTCAAACCTGTCTCTGCACCCTGTGTCACTTTTTCTTTCGCCCACTCTCCCGACCTCCCTCTGACTGGTAACGGAGCTGCAGCAGTCTCTGTCCGGCTGAGGCTTGGCGGGGATAAAGCAGCTTAACGCGTGGGCAGATTATTTCCGAGATAGCCTACCCCCAGTCCCGACCGACAACTCTATGTCACTGTGTAAGGGCTGAGCGGAGCAGACCGCCAGCCGGCCAGTGTGCACATTTAGAAAAAAAGGCGCAGTCAGGCAATTTTAAATGAGCAGACTCAATAGGCGCAATTAGGGCCCCGCAGTTTCGTAACAACAGGAATTAGCTCCCAATGACTGTTGAACCCCACAGCATGGTGCTGTTGTCTTGATGCCACCATCCACTAACTGGGTTTGAGTCTTGAGCCCTGACCTAAGCTGTTATGCAGGCTGATTTTTAAATGAATACATAAATGAATGGATGATTATAGAATATGAATTGATTATATAAAATCAAATAAATTGGGAACAATTTAATCATTTGTGCACACTACTAATTGGTGCTCTTGATTTCTGGTCGAGGCAGACGGCCACCCACCTAGAGCCGGGGTCTGTCCGAGGTTTCTGCCTCTTAAAAGGAAGTTTTTCCTTGCTGACGTCGCCAAGTGCTTGCTCATGGTGGTTACTGTTGGGTCTCTGTAAATAATTTTATAAGGACTATGGTCTAGACCTGCTCTATTTGAAAAGTGTCCTGAGATAACTTCTGTTATGAATTGGCACTATACAAATAAAATTTAATTTAATTTGATTTAATTGAATGACACATATGCATATGTTTTGCCTCCTCCCCCTTTGTAGAGGGACAGCCATTGACAGCAAACATTTGGAGGAAGACATTTGTGAAAAGCTACCGAAGCCTTAAGCTTTTAATGGACTGGGTGACATACACAGTATCATTTAAGTTTTTACAGTGAAACAGTCCATGAGGATATCCTGTCAAACATGTTTAAGGGATCTCAAAGATAGCACAATGTTGTGTTTAACAGCCCAGACCCAATATCCACATATCTCAGCCCAAAAATCAACCGTCAGCCGTGTGTTGTATACCTTGAGGCTGGCTAAAATATTTTATATGCATCCAACCTAGCATGCAGACAAACTGACATGCATCAAACAGTTTACATTCAGTGGCAACATTAAGTGTGGGTAAGAGTTTGAAGTTGGTGAAAGGACATATAATTGTAAAATGAAGAGGGGACTTCAGTAAAGGCTACCAGTGTAGGCGGGTGAGAAATGACAGGAACTGAAAAGGGAAAATTGCAGAATACACTGGGAGAAGAAAGAAAGTGTTTGCCTGAAGATGAAAAAGAAAAAGATGTAGGAGGGACCATGATGGCACTTGATTAATAAGCTAGAGAGACATGTATTTGAGGTTGCAGTCATTTTTCGCAAAAGCATGTTGCTAATGTGAAGTACTCGCATGCATATGAAGATAAATATGAAATATGGTTGTACTGCTACTGGGGGGTCAGGGGATGTTATTTTTGGAAGCCACATAATATTTCTTATATTAATAATTCATATATTTATAGTTACTAATTTAGCTATATTTTGTTTGCACTAAATTGTCAAAATGTATGGATTCAAGTGATAAGACCCTTTTTTTCAATTTTCAATAACACAAGCCCACGGTGCTACAATTCTTTATCTCTGTAGTTCTTTAAATTTGTCTCAGACAAAATCAAAACTCTTCAGATGCTACTGTGTTATATTTACTAAGAGGGTAGCACTTTGTGGTGGCAAAAGTGGGGCACTGATGGCAGGGATGGCATTTCCCAATACACAGAATACCAATACTGTTTAGGGATCCCAGTATGCAGAAATATAAATAAATACACTAGACAGAAAAAACACATTTATGCCACATGCAGAAAAAACAGCCTGTTTTTTGCCCCAAAACTGCATGAGATTAGCCTAAAGTCAGCATGTCTCCAAAGGGGAGACTCATGGGTATCCATAGAACTCATTTTCATTTAATATCTTGAGTTGGGTTGGCCCCCAATAGTCGCCTTAATCATAAGTCGCTGAGAAGCGGCTCCAAACAGGACCATTATGGGGGGGGGATGAAGACACGGTGGCTTCAATGCAATCAAACAGAGGAAGAGGAGCAAATTTGTAGCGAGTTCATTTGTACCTGTTAACTTTTGTTAAGTATTTGTTTTTGTGTTTGACAAGATTTATTCCGTGTTTTGAACAATGAGCCAATAGTCGACTAGTCGTTGTAAGTTCATGATATGAATTTCATTATTTAAATATATATTTGATAAGACACCTGTTAAATGATAACAATATTTTGGATGATGTACAACATTATCAGTTACTTACAAATTAACTCACTACAAACTCACTCTTCTTCCTCCATTTCATGCCTTTCCTGCTGCTACCTGAACCTGCTGTGTCCCGCTGAGCTGGCTGTAAATCAGCTGGCCTGCTTTTTCTCACCCCACTCTGGTTCTGTCACTCATGTACCCTAGCCCTGCTGGGTCCCCCCACTCCTATGCTTTTAGTGTTTAAACTCCCCTGTCCTTCAAGCTCCCAGCCCGGATACAGCCCAAACAGTGTTTGACTTTAGTTTTGATTGTTTGTCAAAATCCGACTAATTAAAATTGCGTCTAATTAAAAGGCTCCTTTCAGCGACTGACAGTTAAGTCAACTTTTAGGGAGCAGCCCTAGTGATGAATTGAAAATGGACATGCCAGTTTTTCCATTGCCAAAATGTTGCCTAACTTTGGAGCGTTATTTAGCCCCCCTCTGGAAACGCCCCTGTAAATACTCTAATAGTATATGAGCACTCTACATGTGTTCTCTTCCAGATGAACAAGTAACCTTTCCAGAGGTTTTTCATGCCTTCTGCTCAGGGCACGCTGGGAATGGCACAGTACTCTGTGCTCATAAATCTTGGGTGAGGGGAGTGAATGGGTAGTCAGAAGTGTATCTGCAAAATGTTCCACTGTATTAGTCAGCCTTTTACTTTGTACATTTTTATATTTTTTAATCTATGTTGTTGTAGCATTTAGCTCTCTCTGTCTCTCTCTCTCAACACTGGCACCTTGTGATGCAGGCTATGAATGTGCATCCAACTTACTTTTTGAAATTCCATCGATTGGCCTTAGGGTGGAGACAGTGAGCCATTTTACATGAGTCATTTGGTGTGACAGTGCAAGAAATTTCTAGGGGGTCACAAATCCACCCTGTCATTGTACGCCTATGCATTTATACTGTGCAGACATGAGGTCAAAGCAATTACACAACTCTATATATTCTCTTTAAAATCATCTAAGGTATAACTTTTCACAGTAAGTTTACAGTTAAATGCTTGTTATACAGAACACATTAAGAATAACTGTATAAGAGCAGATTTTAAAGAGCAAATCAGAGGGAGACTACCACATAGAGAGAGAGAGAGAGACATAAAATGAAAAATCAAGTCAAGAGTGGAGCTCTGGAAATGAGACAAAGGTGAGGAGAAGACCAGAGAGGAGAGGAGATAAGGTCATCACACGCTGCTGATAAAAACAATGATGCTGACCGAGTTTTGCCCCAGCCCTGCCTGCATGTCCGCCCTGTGTCCTCCGTCAGGCACTGCAGGGGAGACAGACGAATCAGCACACTCTGGTCCACCCTCATCCCTCCCACTCTCTCTCCACCTCTCTGTATCGCTCCCACCTCACCTCATAAGTGTGATACTCTGCAGTGCTGCACACTGAGGCAACTACGACCAGCGGTTTATTCCCCAGCCAGACAAGAGCACGCAGGCAGGAGCTGCTACATCATCCATCCCTGACAGGAGGTAAGATTTCTCAAAGATGTTCAGATGCAGCTTGGGGAAAGGGGGGGGCTTCATTTTATGAGGACTACGGTCACATCAGGGAGACATGGAATATGCTAGAACATGTAGGTATGTAGGGAATTATGACAGGAAATTCCTGCATGCAGAGATATGTAAACAGTCTAATTAAAAAGTTATTAGGTAATGTTTGGCTTGGGATACTGATAACTACCAAACTGTGTCAAGGGCATTGGAAAAATGTGAGAAATAGTATAACAAACAGGAAAGAGAAAAACATCTGTGTCATCTTTATCTCTGAAATATGTCTAGTCATTAGATTTTGCCACAGGTTGACTCCAAGTTCGGTAGGAAACTAGAGGACATATACATCAATTTAGATCAGAGCCTTTTAACCTTGTCGGCTTGTGATCCAAACAACAAAGTCATGTTTGCTCAACCAAAAGAATGGTTTTGTCTTTTTACTTCATTTAATTTAGTATGTTTTTGTTCTTTTTCTTTGTCTCTGTAAATTACATTACTATAAACAACACCATGACCTCACCCAAAATGACCTCACAACTGCCTGAACAACCAATGGTGGAGAAGCACTGATTGAAATAAATCATTAATTTAATTTAATTTAATTTAATTTAATTCAATTCAATTCAATTTAGCTTGTCACTGCAAAGCTGCAGTGTTTCCATTTTACTGCTGTAAACTGCTTTCTTTCTCACATTTCCTCTCTGTTTTTTTTGTTTTTTTCAAAGTTGGATGGGTGCTATTCCATCATGCTCAAGTCTCTGTTTGTGTACGGAGTGCTGGGAGGTGAGAATTATCTGTAAAAACAATATATATTTCTAGTCTGGTAACTGGAGACTTCTGTAAATAAATATATGTGTTCTGTTTTTTTTCCCCCAGTGCTGCTGATCCCAGCAAAGTGTGAGCTGATCTCAGTGTGTGTTGAAAATGACGACGACCTGAGAGTGGACTGTCGGATCGAGCCCAAGCCCAACAAGATCAACAGCTACGAGTTCTCTTGGTCGATTGGAACCAAAGAGTCCACCATTAACACCAATGTGTCCGGTTCATCAGCAGAGGTTCAGTTCAAAGATAAAAGCTACGTGGAGGAGCTGGAGCCTTACGGTTACAGGATGACCATGAGCGGCTTCAGAGACAAACTCCCACACAACACCACCTACATGTGCAAAATATCCCAGGATGGAGCCAGGATCACTGTGGAGAAAGGTAGGTGGATTTGAGGGACTCAGCATGAGAATAAGTGAGTGGGAGACAATTTAAGAGGATTTTGTCAACTGTTTACATCCCATTTTTCTTCCTCTGCAGATCAGCTTCTCGAGTGTTCAGCTGTGAGCGTGTTTCTGAAGAGCTCCTGCTCCTTGATTGCTTGTCTGCTGCTCTTCTTCTATCAAACACACAGCTAAACAAAACATGCATGCTTGTGCTGGTACATACACACACATACACACACACACACACACACACATCTAACCACGCCTTCGCATCTGTCCCCATATGTACATCCCCACAATATAACACCCACATGTTGGTATGTTATCAATAGCCTGAAACTGTCTCTCCTTCTCTGGTTTTCCTCCCAAGTGCACTGAAATGTTTTCATAACTTTGACAATAAAGAATGAAGATGACTCAACAGAATTGATTATAGATGTTCTGTTCGCTGCAGAGGCCCGCGCAGATATATGTGTATAAAATAACGCTGAGCAACTTGTCATGTAAATATTACTCTGGAAGCTGCAGCATTTGTTTTCAATAAAGAGATGCTATTTAAAGCCAGACACCGACTTGTGTGTGAATTCAATGTTCACAATAGTGGGACAGAAGTGAGTCAAACATGGAAACAAAGAGGTCTTTTTAGAATCAGAATCAGATTTTAAAAAGAAGAAGAAAAATATAAATAAAAAACATACTGAAAGTCAAATAAATAGAAAAACAAAATGGACAATATTGTATGATAATACATTATAAAGATAATAATATACAATATGACTTATTTTAAATGGAAGCTGTACAGTTTTAAGTATAAAGAATATTTGCAATGTGCAAGATAACGTCATGTGTGCTATGTAACATTAATGTAACATGCAGAGGACGGGGTGGGGGTAAGAGTCAGTGGGGGTCTTGGGCCTTGTTGATGAGGAAGAAACTGTTCTTGTGGCGTAAGGTTTTCCCGATGGACCGCAGCCTCCTGCCAGAGGGAGGTTCCTCAAAAAGTTTGTGTCTGGGGTGGGAGGGCCACACTTTTACCTGAACACCTCAGGGTCCTGGAGGTGTCCTGTAATAGCAGTAGTGTTTCCAGATGTTGATGGAGGAAGTGGGGATGGACTAATGGAGTAATGGCAGTGTAGAAGTGCATCGTCACTGCCTTTGGCACGTTCAACTTATTAATTTGCAGCAGGAAGTACTTAGCATTGGAGCTGATGTTCAGCTCCCACTTGAGGCCCTGGCTGATGATGGTTCCCAGGAAGCGGAAGGACTCCAAAGTGTCAACCGGACAAAATTTGACCTAAAAGCCCCCTTCCCCTGACAATTTAGCATGATATGGCTGGTACAAATGAACAAATTAAGTCATCTAGTTTCATATGATTCCTGTATCTTCATTCTAGCTTTAAAACCTGCTACATCCTCTGACAGAGGCAGAGTGGAAGAGATTAGATTGGTATTTTAAGAGAAATCCTACACAAACCTGAAGAAACAAAAGGTTTTTATGTCCGGAGCTTTTGACTACATCTCCAGAGATTAGCTCTGGGCAGTGACGGCTTTCCTGCAGTTTTTATTCACATGGTAAGATGTATGTATTTAGAATGAAATGTGTGTGTTAATGTTAATGTGTTTCCGAGTCTCTTTGAAGTTGAGAGGGGTGTGAAACAGGGCTGTCCTCTGAGTCACTGCTGTGGCTTACGCTGATAACATTCCTGTTATTATAAAGAATCAGATAGAGATGGATGTCTTAACTAATCATTTAATTTCATAAAAAAACGCATCTGGAGCTAAATTAAAACACAACAAAAGTGAAGGAGTTTGGATCGAAGCGGAAAGAGACAGACAAAATATTAATATTGAAGTTAAACAGGAAATTCAAATACTCAGTCTGAACATCTGTAACAGGGAATGTAGTGACAGAAACTAAGAAAAGACTTCAGAGATGAAGCATCTTTTCATGGATTGTTACAGAGCTCGGGAATGTTGGAAGTCTGTGATGTTTGGAATCACTGAAAGAAACAATAAACCATATGACCACATTGAACTGTTACAACTCATAATAAGCATTGTTTGTTTTAAACTGTGGAACACAAGAACTGCTATGATCATATATCAGACTATTATTATTACACAAACACTCACTGAACTCTGGAGGAGGAAAACTCTGTACAGAAGTCAATGCCTCCCGTGGGACAACTCCTCTGGACTCTCTGACTGTATGCACTTTATAAATGTTTGCTGATGCACTTTATTCTCTGACGCACTTTATTTAAAATGTTTATGTAATGTTGTATAATGTATAATGTGTAATGTGTAAAATGTCATAAAGTTAAAGAAAAAGAAAAAAAGAAGAGATTAGGATAATGGGGATGGCACTTTGAGGTAGCCAACCAGATTTCAGGGACAGCCAATGTCACTCAAGGCCCCCCTCTGGACACGCCCCTGAAATACTGACCTGAATACTTACAGTATGCCAACAAGTATTTAGTATTTTATATTTGTAATTGATTCAGATCACTTCGTATAGATCTGTTTTCTTGAAGGCACATTAAATGTACTTTGATTCATGTTGTGAAATAGTCAAATCAGTCAAATCAGACTTTATTTGTATAGCACTTTTCATACAAGCACAATGTAACTCAAAGTGCTTCACACATTAAATAAGTAAGACTAATAAAGAGCTTTATAAAACAATAAAGGGATATTAAAATTGATTCTGAAGCAAACAGGTAGCCAATGCAGAGAAAAATTGTGGTTTTTTTAAGTGTTTTATTAGTCAGTTATTTCATAATCTCACTTTTCGTAGTTAAACTTGAACAAGTGAGATTATCAGTCTGTAGCGTTGGTCTGTGGCAGAGCGTCTCATGGTATTTGCTTATGTGAAATGTGCGTCTTTGACCCTCGGTGCTATCCGTAGTTTCCGACAACATTACGATGGCCGCTTCTACTGGCAGCACCAAAGGGCCAGAGCTATCTAAAGCTGAGTACCTGAAACGCTATTTATCCGCTGATGGAGACGGCAAGAAGTCGAAGGGGAAGGTAAAGAAGAAACGGCGCAAGGTTCCGGAGAGAGGGTGAGTCAGCGGGGGGTTTTAACCGAGCTGCAGCCCGCTGCGCTGCTCGTTCAGTTAGCTGAGGTCGCTATTGCTACTGCTGCTGTGAACTCCCTCGTTTTTGAATGAAAAGTTTGTGTGGCGTTACTTAACTCACGTTTACTTCTCTCGTTCAAGACTCAAAATAGTGGACGATGACATAGACTGGAAGCAGATGGTCAAAGAGGAGGAGGAGATAGAAGAGGACGAAGAGGAAGCTCCAGTGGTAAGGACTTAAGCTATCGAGCTAGCTGGCTAACCTGTGTCCATTCATTAACGTTACTTGAAGTGATTAGCCAGCAGACTTATTCACTTACAGAACACCTTAAAAACATGCCGTGCTTTTAAATTTGTAAAATATATATATATATAAATAAAAATAAAAATCATTTTTGTAATACAAATCCAACCAAAAAGTGTTTTTTTATATGTTTGGCTTATCGTTTAAGCTGTAATTGTGTTGATTTGATGTAAAAACCATACCAATATTGCAGTATAAGCAGATACAAGCAGAGTTATTAAAGATGTAGCTACTATGGTGTAGATGGCCTGGCAAAATCTATGGTGGTTATCAAATATATTTTCATATTACCCTGTCTTGAAACATCACGTGTTGTGTTTGTCTGCTAAGATTGCTGAGGTGATTGACGAGAGACCAGATGAAGTGAAACAGTTGGAAGCCTTCAGAACCAGCAATAGATGGAAAGTGATTGGAGGTAATTGGTATTTGTGAACGAAGTTAAGAGGATCCTTGTGCTGTGTACAAGTTTATTTACTTTGTTTATCCTCTGCCAATAGCTGACGAAAATGAAGACGCAGAAGAGGCGGAAGGAAGAGGGCATGATTCACCAGAGTTGTCATTGGAGAGTAGCAGACATGGTTCTCAGGAGAGAAAGACCCGACATGACTCTCCAGACATATCCCCCCCAAGAAGAGGTCGCCATGACTCTCCAGACATATCCCCCCCAAGAAGAGGTCGCCATGACTCTCCAGACTTGTCACCTCCCAGACAACACTCAGGGAAATCAGGAAAGGCACAAAGTAAAGGTGAGTGATGAGAAGTCATGTTTGAGGCTTTGAACCTGGTATATTTCTGCATCGGGCAAGGTGATATTAATAAAACATCAACAAAAAAAATTAAACACTTCACTAAAGAATTCATTATTTCTTTGCCAGATTCATCCCCTGCCAGAAGAAAGCCCAGCTCCATACCATCAAGTAAAAAACATTCGCCTGATCCTCATCGGTCACCACTGGCAAAGAGGGCTCAGAACAGGCACGATTCAGACTCTGACCGGTCACCTCCACGAAAAAAGCCACAGAAGGGAGGAGCTTCAGACTCGGACCAATCTCCTCCACGGAAGCACTCAAACACAAGACGAGGCTCTGATTCTGACCAGTCCCCACCCAGGAGGCGGCCGCGTAGTGGAAAGGGCTCAGATGAAGATCTGTCACCACCTCGTAGACATGGCCAATCACAGGTGAGAAAATCGTGTTCATTTTGTAATTTAAAGTCAGATTTAGCTGAAATTGGATGCAGGTATTCAATGTCCAACCGACTAGACTTATGCAGTTTTTACTGTTTTACTGTTTTTCCAGCCTCCAAGGATGCTTTCTGGCGGGACGGCAGGCCTGGTTTCCGTAGATATTTTAAGAAAAGAGCAGGAGGAGAACCGACGCAGAGAAAGACAGAACAAGCCACTAGAAGGTTGGCTCAGCTTCACTCTTTTTAAGATACTTTTCCTTCTCATATCCTCTACATCAACCATGCATACTCCAAATGCTTACAGTGATATCTTTAGTAGTAGTTGTGAAAGTCAAATGATGCAGTCCTCTTTCAGATGACATTTTATATATTTTTTCCTGCTACGTGTAGACGAATCCCGCAATGCCCAGACGGTGTTCCGAGACAAGAGCGGTAAAAGAAGGGATTTGGATACGGAGAGAGAGGAACAGAAAAGGAAAGCTGGAGAAAAAGCAGAAAAGGATGAGAAATACGCTCAGTGGGGAAGAGGGTAAGTCTGCGTAAAGTTTTCACACATTTAAAGATGGCTACAGAGTGGGATTGTGACCACATAAAGACTTGTAATATGTTACATGCCGGCTTGTTTCCATGATTAAAGTTAGCTTGTGTTTATAGGTTGGCCCAGAGCCAGATGCAACAGCAGAAACTTGAGGATGCAGTGCGTGAGGCCCACAAGCCGCTGGCACGTCAGCGCGATGACGAGGATCTCGATCGCATGTTGAGAGAGCAGGAAAGGGAGGGAGATCCAATGGCTGCGATGCTCAGACGGAAAAAGGACCGCAATCCAAAGACACAAGGTTTTCATGGTTACATATGTGTGCTTTGTTGACTGATGCTTAAAAAAAATGTGTTTATCATTTATATAATTAATTGTAAACCATCTTATTTTTGTTTTGTTTTGCAGAGAAACCTCGATATAAAGGCCCACCTCCTCCTCCAAACCGCTTCAATCTTCTACCAGGCTATCGCTGGGATGGAGTTGATAGGTACAGTGTATGATGGATTAAAAAAGGATTTCATAATTTGTGAAAATGATTCTTGGAACCCCTCAAGCAAAGTTTTATTTTCTCTAATTTAATGAAGAGCAAGTAAACCCATTGTGTAAAGCTGGATGAAGAAGCATTTCAAGGATCAGACATCTGGCAAGAAAAGTGGCAATGCAATCTGCCTCTGCTTTTGAGAGGGACAGTGTAGGAGATGACACACCAAAAATGGGAGCATGGAGACAGACAAACACAATTCTTTGATTTTGCTGCATGACCTGGACATGTGGCCATGAGTGGCTGGGGTTGATCTGCTGCGGTTACATGCAGGGTTCACCTCAGGGAACAATTATAAACAATATATTTTTCCATTAACTGCAGTAAAGTATTTATTGCATAAAACAAATGGAATATTTGCAACAATGTTGAATGTAAATGGAAAAAGTGTCAACTCTTTCTAAAATAGAATAACAATGATTATCTGAAATGGAACAGAAAATTTGGCGCCGACATCCCTCCTTAACTTTTGGAATATTGTTGTGGTTACAAGTGTCCTTTTTTGTAACACATAGCGCGTCCATATTTCATACTGTTCTCTTACATCTTATACACTTGTATAAGTATGTGTACTATAGTCAAGATCACAATTTTGGCTCCTACACTGAATTAAACCTGATGGGGAGCTTCATTGAAGGTTTGCTCTGGTGCATCCAACCAGAGATGGAGCTGAGGGTGTGAATGAACAGAATTAACAGTGGAATTTGATTTGTGTGTGTTTTGCAGGTCAAATGGTTTTGAACAGAAACGCTACACGCGAATTGCAGATAAAAAAGCCGTCCAGGAGGCAGCTTATAAATGGAGCGTGGAGGACATGTAATGGCAGTCGGAAACTGATGGATCGGGAGAGGAGGAGGCTCATCGTCTATAGTCGTTTAACATGAAAGTTGAGACTGAGTATCTAATCTATGCTGTTGAAACAACTGCATATTGGACACATACACTCAACCTAACCAACATTTTGAGAAAGATTTGTTGTTCCTGTACAACGGACATCAAATTATAACAAACTGATAAACTACAGACATAACTGTACATAGCAGTGAAGTGACAGTATCTTTCTTATTTTGTAATAATTGATTCAATGTGGAGACGAAACAGATATGTTTTTCACTGTTTTATTAAATAATGTCTTTGTAAAGTGTTGCGTCCTGTGTCACAAGTGTTCACAATTTGAAATTTACGTGAATGGAGTTATTGTTAATTAATGGTGTAACTATTAACCTTCAAAATACAATGGTATGGTGTATTTTGGCTCATAGGTGTGGCTTACTGGCACACGGTAAATCGAACACACACCCATCATTAATGTTATTGGCTACAGCTGTGTTTTTCTGCCATGAAGGGCCACATCTGCTGAGAGAGGTGGAGCAGGAGTAGTGCAGGTGTAACTAGAGGAGGCAATTTCTGAAGAATGTTGGGTGTGAATGTGGGATGTTGAAAACTTGATGCTAAACTGAATGGCTGATCTTAATTTGAATTAGTAAGGACAGGAGTCGGAAAGGGTCTAATTAATATGAATGGGATTTAAAAGTTGAATGAAACCCATAATGTAAGGGGAGATATGAACGTTTTGATGTGAGTTTAGAGCTGAAAGTATGTTTTTATTAATCAAGTATTTATTTTAAAATACACACTACTGTGCTTAAACAGAGATCTCAACTTAAATGTATGGCTTTGAAAATTGGGGGCGATTTATTTATTTATACATTACATACTTATAGACAGAAATGATATAAAACCGTACATCTGTCTTTATTTACATACAATTATAATATAGTGTGTTGTCTTCTATTTGAAAAGACCCGTCGGGTAAATAGGAACCATAAAAACGTACTAGAACTCGTTTCAGTACGGACTGTTTTTGCCTATGCACACAGGACAGACAGGCTACTTGCCGTTGTGAAAACATTTATCGGTATCGATGAGGTTTCTCTCGTTAATTGTCGCTTCGTGTAGCGAAACAACCGCCTGGGAAACTCGCTGGAAGTGAAGGAGGGGACCGTGGGAGTTGACTTTAGGCGGAAATGGTCGAGTGGAGTCCGATAGCGAAGGCGTACGAGCCGCTGAAAGCTGGCAGCATCGATGGCACGGACGTGGAGCCCCATGACCGGGCTGTGTGGAGGGCTATGGTCGCCCGCTATAAGCCCAACAAAGGCGTTATTGGAGACCCACTGCTCACCTTGTTTGTGGCCCGTCTGAACCCCCAGACGACGGAGGAAAGACTGCACCAAGTGTTCTCCAAGTACGGAGACATCCAGCGGCTCCGGCTGGTCCGGGACATCGTCACCGGCTTCTCCAAGAGATACGCCTTCATTGAGTACAAGGAGGAGCGGGCTGTTGTCCGGGCCCGACGGGACGCCAACAAGCTTGTGGTGGACCAGCATGAATTGTTTGTGGATTTTGAACAGGAGAGGACCCTCAAAGGATGGGTCCCCCGGCGGCTCGGCGGCGGGCAGGGGGGGAAGAAAGAGTCCGGACAGCTGCGGTTCGGCGGCAGGGACAGGCCTTTCCGGAAACCTATTAACCTCGGGGTCGGTCCTGTGCAGGAACGAGGAGTTGGAGGAGGGGGAGGTGAAGGTGGGGGGAGGGAGTGGGAGAAACAAGGGGCGAGAGACAGGGAGGACCGGGACCGACACAGGGAGGCTGACTGGGGCAGCAGAGGGAGGAGAGATGAGCGGGACAGGGGTAGAGAGAGGGAGGACCGCAAACACCGAGACAGGAGCAGGCACCGGGACCGGAGGTGAAGCCCTGGATAGGACTCCAAAGTAGTGCTCTCACCCGGTCCAAAGGACGTGTGTGACCGATCCACAGTCAGCAGCCTGCCTCAGATGGAGGGACTGTTAGGGGCTTGTGGTTGATCAGATTGTACTTTATTACAGTTGTTGGATGCCAACCTGGAGCAGCAACTTTCAGCTGGTACTCTGGAGTATTTCAGAGGAAAAATCTGACTGCTTTTGTAGTGTAAAAAAAATATTTATTTTTTATTTCTCCTTTTTCATAAGTGAGACTATTAACTTTCTCTCTTCTGAACTACATGGTAACATTTCCTAAAATGGACAATTAAACGATGTAGTCTCTCTATGTAACACATGTTTTTACTGATGAAGATTTTTGGAGCGTCATACTTGGTAAAAGGCCACTCATGCAACATTGAGAGTATACACAGGGGAAGAAAAGCAAATAAACAACTTGATGTTAACACAGTGGTTTTACTTTCCTTCCGTTTTAGATATTTTTCTTTTATTGCTATTTTGTTCTGGGAAAGGAGACATTAAATGTAATTATTTCGAGTTACCATCAAAACCTTTTGTGTTCTTGGTAGGACTGAGTTGTAAAAGAACACATTTGTGATTGAACATAGGTTTTCATGCTGTGTTTACAATAAACACGGTACAAAATACTTAAAATCATATGCAGACAAGCACATAAATGTACAGGCAGTTAATCTTTTAATGTTCGTACATAGTGTAATTAAAAAGTTATCCATCCCTCTGACTTGTGCCTAAGCCTCAGCTCAGCTGTTTAATCCCTCGTCTTGCCCATTGAAGCAGATCGTGTTTTAGCTATGAGTCACTGGGTGGATTGCTTTCTGTCAGACTGACCACAAGTATGTCTGAAGTCATCAATAGGAAACGTCAATGGTCTGTTGTTACCATCGGTCCATTAAGTCTTATCCAGTGACTCCATGCACTGCACACATCATCAGTCCATGAGCTCATCGCAGTGACCTGCTGCTGGGAAATTCATCACTTGTTATCTGAGAAGAAGTTAAACCTGAGAAAAGAGTTTGTGCATAAAAGAACCGATTCCTTAGTAACGCTGATGTAACACAGTAAACAAAAGTAACCAAAGAACGTGATAACACTTTAAATAAAATAAAATTGAATGAGGATACTTTAGACAAAGTAGTGGGTGTGGTTAGGGAAGGAGAACTGAACACTGCTGATGTAAAGTATAATTTAGTCTATTTCACTCTTAATTATGTCTCAAATGAATTGAGTAAGATTAAAAGTCATATGTTATTATGCTGTTTAGAAGGAAAGGCAGAAGAATTGGAGCAAAGACACGCATAACCCATAAATACCCACAAAAAACTGGCATGTTTTTCAATGGTTTATTAAATCATTTTCATTACTGTGTACGGGATTGTTTGATTATAGCAGGCTAGGATTTATAGCCATATGACGGAATTAGACATTTGGTGTAGTTGGTATTTATTTGTAATGAAAAGAAATGCTTTATGACCAAAGATGAGCTGGGTGACATCACAAGAAAGACACATGGATATGGTTATAGATTATTACTCAGAAATCATGTTTGGTTGTCTGGACAAAGCTGCTCTCATCCTCCCAGCATACCTGGGATTTATGATTGGCCAACCAGGGAAAGTCTCTCTTTGGACCGTGCTAAACTCAATCCTGTGAACCAAAACACACAGACGCTGATGAACCGCTTTATACGTTGAGCTACAGTATGTAGACTCATACTGACAAACTGGCTCTCACCTGAAGGCAGGGTTGATGCCGATGTTGTCTGGCTGTGGGAGGGCAGGTGTTCGTCTCCTGCGGCAGGAAGTCGGAGGAGGGAAGTCCTTCTGATACTGAGACTGCATCTCTATTGAATCTGGTTCAGTTTTCACTGCTGTCGACCCCGTCTGATCACGGTTGCCTTCTTGCTCGTCCTCCCCGGGTTCCCCGTCCCTGCTGCTGGTTCCTCGTCCTGTTTGTCTCGAGGATGTGGGACAAGAACGGCGGGACTCCAGCTGTGTTTTCTGGAGGATATGAACTCCTAAAGGGGTTCACATAACTTTAATAAGGGTTTCATTTGACACATAGTAACATCTAATTCTGTCTATGGAGGCAGCATCTGAAAAATATATACTTTTGGTAAAAACCCTCATTAGTCCAGCCAGTTCTTTGGTGGCAGTATTCAGCAATTAATACAAATGTATTTGGGTCAGTAAAATCCAAATTAGTTTTTCCTTCTTGTTATACAAGTAACATCATTTTTATGTTTAACCTTATATAGATCGTTCTCTTTTATATTTGTAGTATTAATTGCTGTATTGTTGTTATTCCAGTTTAATGATAGTGAAGTAATTATATTGCAGTATGACTGATTAAACCCTTAAATGAAAGAAAAAAACTCATAAATCACTTTTCTAATCTCTGCCCAAACATTTTCCAAACACACACACACACAGCCTGGCATGCCTATTTTCAGAACTGAAACAGTCATATGTTCACACAAACACAACTCACAGCTTATCTTAAAGCAGATAAGATGGGTTTACTCCCTAGGTTGAGATAAGACTGCAGACCTTTGTCCCTGTCTCGTTGTTCAACGGGTCGAAAGCAGAAAGCCTCTCTTGATGTGGTCTCCATCTTAGCAGGAGTATCCGGGTAAAGGAGAAATCCTGGGGACAACACAGAGGGTCAAAAGTTGGCTTTAACAGTGATGGATTATAAGTTTTTTAAATACTGTGTAATCAAAGTATTGTGCATGATTAAAATGGAGAGAAAAAAATGGTTTTCAAAATCCTTTCTTTTTAACAACTGGAGTAATTCCAGTGAACACATCACCGCTGGACTAACTTCACTTAATATTTGCTGAAATCCGTCCAATCAGTCATTTTTATTTTGAGCTGGAAATCCCCAATATATCCTTGTTTAAATCATAAGAATTGGTGGTGTCAGTCATGGCTCATTTAGGCCCATTTACTTTAAACGCAGTAAAGATGCAATGACAATGAGGCTCAATCATTTACACCAAAATGATCTGTGACAAGAATGTTTTATTTCTGTCTGTGTGTTTAGACAATTGCCCTGAGACTGAAGCAAAACTACAGAAATAATGATCATTTTGGAGGTTATTTTCATATTCTTTTTTATAGATATTCTGCAGAATAAAGAGCACTTTTTCGACCTCAACCTTATTTGAACAACAAAATCTCAATAAAACAGGAACATTTGGGTTAAAGTTGAGTTGGAACATCAATAACTCTGTCTGATGCTGGGAGAGAGGAGCAGCAAACCTTCACCTGCCACTGCCGGCGGTTCTCCCTTGTAGGGTCGACTAGGCAGAAATAATTCATGGTGGCGACTGGGGTGTCGTAGGTTGGTATTTTTGATGAACATTTTCTCTGTTGGCTCACTGGCATCACCAGCAGCTCTGAATCTTTGGTGTCTGGTGCAACAAATACTGTACAAATGACCACATGGTTTAATGTATTCAATAGCAGTAGAAACTGGAAACAGTTGTTGCAAGCCTTAAAATATCACAGTGTGTATGTATTTCAAATAACAACCAGTATAAAGCCTTAAAACAGCCCTAAGGAGAGTTATTCACTGTATTGCTTACCTTACAAGCTGTGGTACAGTTCTGCAGTGTTCCTGTCTACATTTCTCTGTGCTGTATTTATGTGTGTTATAAGGGTATACACAGAGCTACTTAAAGCTTGTTTACTTCAGTAGTCATGGTGTTCTATTCTCCTTCAGTGAGTGACAGATACAGTAGTTACCAACTGAGACAATAAAGCAGCTGAACCACCAACAGAGAGCTGAAACTTTGCAGCCGCTGCTTGGACAGACGGTTTTTAAAGAGGCACATGGTCCAGAATGAGTAATAAGAGTTTAAAAAAAGCTTGAAGTGCAGAGTTGAGCCTTTTCCTAAAGGAGGCCGAAACTGTCATATTTTGCATTACTGACTCAAGTAAGATGTACGGCAGCAAGTGAAATGATGATCAAATACATTTGACTACAGTTGGGTTGAGTCACACACACCACACTGTCAAAAAAAAGAGAAAACGTGTTGTTTTTTCAGTGGTTGCCCTGGAGCATTTGGCCAGCGCTAAGCAATGCACTGTGCCTCCCAGTGTTCAGGTGGCATAAATCATTAGAGGGCCTGTTTTGGCCTGTAAGTTTTCAGTAGGGAACATTGCACTTGTATACTTGTGTGCTTGTACATAAACCATTTTACTGTATGCATTTTAAGGTATTCTGTGGTCAGAATGTTCCTGCAAATGTACAGTCTATAGTTTATGTTTGATGCAGGCTAAAGCAGATAAGAGACTATTTTAACCTTATCAGTCACATACTTTAAGGATTGTGTATGCATATCATCACCAGAGTATGTGAGAGTTATTTTGAATCACTGTGTACAGTGACAGCTCATAACAAGATAAAAGATTAGATGTCTTATCTTTTACAAAGCAAATCTCATTCATGATTTAACTTAAATCCTAAACATACAGAAGATCCCTGCAAAAAAACAAAAATACCATTATTACAACTACTTAAAAACAATCTAAACTTGCATTATAGCTACATGTTTTCTTTTAGAATAATACAATATCTTATGCTGTTATCACTTTAGGAAGCACACTATTGAACTCCTATTTATACCTTTATTTCTTCTGCTCCAGGGCATTTGTTCAACATGCTCCAACTCATAATTTCTAAATGAAACATTCAAACCTCAGCTTATTATGGTGACATAAGCTTTGTTTATACTTTTTACAATAATAAAACTTTTTCCCATAGAAGTTGGTCATTTGAATCATAATTCAAACTCTTTAACACTTAAGCTTTTACACTTCAAGAGATCAGTTTTCAGTGCTTACACTTAAATGAACAGATATGCATTCAGTTTTTAAACCTACACTTGACCTGACACTGGCATGTCCTGCTTCTTTTATCACTCAACATTCAACTAACATTTCAGACTCTCTTCAGCACTTTCACTTCAACTTTAGCACTTTGAACTCTATACAGGACTTCCATTTTAAACTCCTTTTAGTACTTAGTACTGCCACTTCAACTTCTTTCAGGGCCTCAGTTCGTCTATTTTCTCTATTACTGCCATCCAAAGACATTTCTAAAACTGCAAAAAAAAAAAAAAAAAAAACTTTTTGGCTAACTTTGTACAGATTTCAGCACGCGCCAGCAGGAGTCTCCCGTTCCCATAGTAACAAGCCTTCATTCAGAGCCGTATGTAGAGAGAGTTAGCCTCACAGTCTTTGGCGACAGCTTTGATGCGTCCAAACTTAGGCTGTACTGCTTTCTTTTCCGCGATTAACGGGGTTTCTGCATCAACTAAAAGAGCCAGAAAGAAGTCGACGACGTTATATTTGAATGTATTGGTTTAAAAAAGGCGAGAGAAGCAGCGGTAAAGCTCGTCCTATATAGCCTAATAGCTAAACTCGCTCTGTCAGGGACTCCGCTGTGTTTCCAGTGTCCGGAAGTTCTCAGGGAAAAAAACAGAGAAAGGCATGAAAAAGGGGAGCTGGAACAAACTTCTAACCAAGTTCCTCCGGGCACATCGAAACACTGTTTTCTCGCGTAAATCTCACTAGAGGGAACAGACAACGCGTCCTCCTCCTCGACTTATCTAACAATTAGCTGTGTGCATTCATTTAGCGATGGGTCTGCCGACGCTGGAGTTCAGTGATTCTTTCGTGGACAGTCCGGAGTTCAGAGATCGGCTCCAGTGCCATGAGATAGAGCTGGAGCGCACCAACAGGTTTATAAAAGACCTCATCAAAGATGGAAACATGCTCGTATCCGCACTCAGAAGTAAGTACACGCCGATTAATAACCTGTTTTAGAGGGTAAAAGTGCGTGTTAACACTGAGTTACCAGATAACAGTGAGCAATCCAAGGCCATCAATTCAAACTTAGTTAATAGTTTATCACATTGAATTGTGTTTTGGTGGTATGAGCAGCACAGTTAGGTAGGTAGTTACAGTGTTATGTATAGGCTATAGTGTCTATCCAACATACCTGACTTAGCATGATTGGTTAGACTCAGGTTTTATATGCCATTTTGCAATTGGGTGATACAGTTTCTTAACCTAAAGATGGGGGATATGAGGAATTACCAAGCTTACTGTGTGTCAGCTGGTATGTGCTAGTTTATTGAAAGTTGGCTAAAGCACACAGTCATTATGAATTCATCTAGATGTTATTTTTACGAGGTATTGTATAATCGTCTTACACTGGTCTGAAAACATTCAGAAAATAGTGAAAAATACCCATCAAGGTTCCTCAGAGGCCAAGACGATGTCTTCAGATTGCTGTTTTGTCTGACTTAAAGTAACAAACACATAATATAGTCCATTTAAGTGGCAGATCCTGACGTTTTGAGAGGAATTTTTCTTTATAAATGATAAAACCACTCTTAAAAATTGTTGATAATTTTTCTGTAAATCAACTAATTAATTAATTGGATTTAATTGTGTCTTTAGCACGGTCAAAATTTAGTTGTAAGACCATTATTATTTCAGTTTTGTAATCATACTGCATGTTGCATATTGAACAATAGGGTATAGGGGTTCAGGAGGTCTGGGACCCCTCTAGCAGTAATACAACCATGACACAGAGAGGTAAAGAGATAACTTAATGCATTTAATATATTAGACTGGATAGGCAAGAGTAGGACTGCACTGATTTACATTCTCTCTCTGTTCTAAATAGTCTGATTATGTTGTAATGATTACTTAATAAGACATTTAATGACTGACCATGAAGAGGGAATTTAGTTGTTACCATCTTAGGACAATAAAAGGCAAAATAGGCACACAACAAACTGGAAATCTAAAACGCATTAATGTTGGAAAGATTTGTGTGTAACTATGACATCATTTGATAGTGACTGTGATATTTATATCATCAGCTGATGAAGCAGGTACCTCCCATTTGTTTGAGGTTTTGTTCACCTCAGGTTTAACATCAGACACACCTACGCTTTGTGGCTGCCTGCAGTTTCTTTGACTCACCTGCTGGTTGAGGTCACTGGTGTGAACTGTGCCTGTCGTACACACACATTTCGCTGGGTGTGTTTGACCATGACCACACAGGAGTGAAACAACATGATCACTACATTGTTTACAATAACAGGTCCAAGATTATACAGAACACTGGCATCAAAGTCTCCAGAGCCACCACAACATGATATTGCCACAATACAAGGCTGTTGTTATTCATAATATGCTTGCATTTATTACTATTACTGACTGGGAAGTCTCTTCCAAATGGAAAGCCCTTTCAAAATACGGTTTCAGTGTTTCACATCAGTGTTGTTAGTGCAGCAAATGGGGTTTCCAGACTGAACAACGTCATAAAAATAAGTGAAACACATTAACTGACCACCAACATTTCATTAACATCACTGAACAGAAACACACAGTTCAGTATGTAGACAATATTTGAGAACAATTCAATGCACATGCATGTTTTAAATATTGAGAGTTAAGGGCCCAGTTATTTTTTTACCCTATATATAACAAGTGTATTGACATTAATGTCTGAAGAGCCTGACTTAAAGGACCAGGGTGCAGGATTTATGCTGCATTGACATGATGTCATCTTAGTGGATGAGAACATGATGGTAAAATTAGGTGAGGCCAGGAAAACGTTGGATGACATTACTGTCAAAAGTTAAAATATTTGTATGTGTATATATATATTAACTTTTTGCCGTCCTCTGCGACAGTATTAAAGACTGGATGATACGTAGCTCCATCACATAAGGAGAATATTGAGAGGCTGATAATGAAATAATTACATAAAATGATATACACATATTCAACTCATGTCATGCGGGGTGTAGTTTCAGATTGTAACCCCCCCCAAGTTGGAGAAACTACGGTGGCTGCAAAACTCACACAAAACTCAAATGACAATAACAAATATGGATACAACTTAATTTAAGTTTCCAGCGTATAATAATGCTGTTGTTTACAATGCCTTGTCTTCCATGCATTCAACCTGACCACAGTTCTTTTTGCTGATCTCCGGGCAGTAATCTGGTCTAAACTGCCACTTAAGGACATTTTAATAGTTTTACTGTCGGTGTATAATGCAGTGGTGTTATTGAAGTAGTGCCTTACAACGGCTGGCATGCAGGCAAGTGTTATGGGTGTGTGAGTGAGAGAATGCAGTGTTATGGTGCCAAGCGTTCATGCGCCCTTGAGAATAAAAGGTGGTATTAAACACTATTATTGGAGGGTTGTTTGAACACGTAACTGAGACTGAGGTTGTAAAGTGCAGTTTGTTGCAGGGTGTGGCAGTTTGTTTACATCAGACTTTGACACCTCTGGTCTTGGCAGTGGGTTATTTGCCAGAGTCTCATAGGAAAATACATTCATAGTTTATTACAGGAGGGAGCAAGTGATGCTGCTTGTAGCCTGTATGGGAATGGGAGCATTGCATTGCTTTGGACCAATAAAAGCAGTATGTAAAATCATGCCAAGAGCATTCTTGTGCATAATGTTGAAATAGTGAAATTATGTAATAAATAAGTTACATTACATTTACAATCACAATTACATTGTTGTGCTTTAAGTGACTGAATGAACTTCTCTTCTTTTTCTCAGGTCTTTCTCTTGCTGTTCAACGGTTCTCTCAGTCTCTACAGGAGTTCCAGTTTGAATGTATTGGAGATGCTGAGACTGATGATGAGATCAGTATAGGTGAGAGGGAAATGTCCCCAATAAAAAAAACTACATGTTGAGACTGCAAAATGTGTAAAATGTGATCAGTCTTTCCATATTTAAGGTGTATAATTTCTTTTGCAGCTCAGTCCTTAAAGGAATTCTCTCAGCTATTGAGCACCATGGAGGAGGAGAGAAAACGACTGGTAAGAAATCAAAAAACAGAGGGTTTTTAAATATAATAAGGAAAGTTGAGGACATTTTGTTGGTTGTGACCTTTAAAAGTAAGAGTAATGTAAACCATTGTTAATAATAACGTCAGTGAACTTCAGTGTCCTGTTGCTCACACTTTCATCGTCTGAAGGGCTTTAGAAATAAATTATATAGAAATGATTCTCCTTGTGTGAGGCATCACCCTCTGAATAACAATTTTCCCACGTGCATCATGCACAGTTTTAAAGTAACAGTCGTTGTCAGCCACCTTCACTTGATGCACCACACTGACTTCCTCAAGTTCTTTCCATACAAGTGTGATTGACACTTTTGTTGTGCAGCATGGCAATTCGGAAAAACGTCTTTGACTTAAAGACCCTCCATCGCCCAGAGGCCTTTGTGTGGGAGTAACTGGAGTCTGGCACAGTCTGTGTATAGGCAAACCTCTGCGCATGTGCAATGTATGTGCATAGTATACTACCTTATGCATAACTCTCTGTGTGTGTGTGTGTGTGTGTGTGTGTGTGTGTGTGTGTGTGTGTGAGAGTGTGTCTTTGTGGCTGTGAGCATGGTCTGGTTACAGAGGAACCATGTGGAACCTATTCTGCCAATTCCCCCTTGAGACTGTGAGCAAAGCCCTGACTGCCTGGGAAAGTCCATAAAAGGGTCCTGTGTGTGTGTGTGTGTGTGTGTGTGTGTGTGTGTGTGTTGCCGCTTTCTTTCTCTTTCTTTCAGCTTGCACGAGTGTATTTTAATTGTATACTTTTCCACTGCAACACAGCTGATAGGTCTGAACCTCTAATAATACCCTCATTATTGAGTTAAAGGGTAATTCCAGAAAAACGGAAATACCTACCTGCTCAACCTGAATGGACTATTATTGTGATTTGACAATGCCCTTCAGTCTGTAAGTGTTTAGTTTCATCTTGCATATTGTCGCACGGTGGAATAAAAAGAACGTTCACGGAAAGCAGATCTGAAGTACTAAGCTGAAGTGAAGTGAAAGTAAAGTCATGATGCAGAGTGAAAAGCTAAATCTTATGCTTGAATCAGCTAGACAGAACAAAGAAAGACATGACCGAGACTTGCAATATATAGACTCATGACTAAAGAGGACTGAAACCCAATATAAACATCAGAGTGCTAATAACTGCTCTCTAGCTTTTCTTTTTTCTTTTTATTATTTTTGGGGGGTTGGCTTTTATTTGATAGTACAGCTAAAAATGGACATGAAAGGGAGACACAGGGCAGCATGCAGCAAAGGGCCACAGGCTGGATACAAACCTGGGCCTCTGTGGTATGGATTCTGCCTTGATACATGGGATACAATTTCTGCCAGTTGAGCTACCAGGGCACCCCACTCGGGAGCTTATCTTACTGCTTGACTCAAGTCACAACATCAACCACCGATACATATATCGCATGGTGCCCGAAGGATGTATTCTAATGTCTTTGATGATCCTCTGTTTGTTCCTCTAGCCCCACCATGATGTTCACATCTGTGTTTTTTTTACTGAAATAACTCAACAACTATTTGGGTGAATTGCCATAAATTTAGTTCACACATTCATGTCCCACTCAGGATGAATTGTAACAGCTTTGGTGACCCCCTGACGTCTCATCTAGCACCACCATCCAATCAAAGTTTTAATTTGTCCAATACTTGTACCACTCTACTGGTTTATGAGAACTAATGACTAATCCCATTAGCTTTAGCAAATGTTTAAACTAAGATGGTGAACACGGTAAAAATGATACCTTCTTAACCTCAGCCTGTTAGCATCGTCATTGTGAGTATGTTGGCATTTTGCACTGTGCCAAAGTACAGCCTCACAGAGCCATTACCATGGCTGTAAACTAGTAGTCTAGTCTTGTGCTGGATAACAACCATGACCAAAGTCTATAAAATGATTAACGCTCATAATGTTGGATGATAAGAACACTGTAAATTCATCAACTAACTGTTGCTGAGGTTTGTGCTGGGTGTTAGTATGATATTTGGATATTTTTTGGAGTTTTTTGTAAACAGAAAGTAAATAAACCACGTACGATATATTAATTAAGAGATATTTAGTTCCTGAGATCGTCTGTTTCAGTTTGAACCCTGTTCCCTTGCACAATCATTTAGCTAATAATAATATTAAGCAAATCTCAACTGTAGATTTGCTTTTATACAACAAATTTGTGAAGTTGGCGATAAATTTATATTGATTTCAACACAGGAAGATTGTAGTTGCAGGTTTGAATTTGACTTGTTTAATGTCAACATCTACTCTTAAATGAAGCAGAAATATAAAAAAATGAGTCTCTTAATTACCAAATTGTTAGAAAAATCAAAGACAAACATCTTCAAACATTGAGTGATCAGATTTGACAAACCACATTTTAACAGCTAGCAGGAGCCCTTATGGAACAGTGACTCAGTGACTGAGCTGTTGTCTTTTCTTTGTTGTTGCTAGTTTTAGTATCTACTGATGACGCACTGAGCTGACTGCTGTTTGTTTCTCTCTCAGATCCAGAACGCTGATGATGTATTGATCTCACCACTCGAGAGGTTTCGTAAGGAGCAGATTGGAGCTGTTAAGGTATATCTGCAGTTGTTCGAATCAAGGAGAACCAGAAGTTATACCTCAAAATATCACACAGTCTCTGCTGAGGTTTTACCAAGACCAGATCCAGTTTATTAAGCTTGTCGCGTTCCTCAGTTATCTAACACCGTGGGTGGCGATCAGATTCCGACTGGTCTCAGTCGGTCTCTCAGTCAGTGGTCAGAATCCAATTTGTTCGTCAAATAAACGGTGGATCATAGTCCAGTGTCAGTAACAAGGTCATGGGAACGGACGCTGGGAGGGGAGACAGGGAGCGCGTCACAGATAGAGAGACAGTTGAACTCATTGAGGCAATATAAACACAAAGTGAGTCTGGTGTCTGGTTTCAGCAGCTGTCTGAATTCTTATAATTCAGTTTATCTCGTTTTTTTTTTTCTTCTCTTCGCTCTCTCTCAGACTGAAATAACAGCAGAGATAGCAATATCTTGCAGAAGGTTTGAGAAAATAGAACTGGTCACATCTGTGACTAACCCTGAAAGTGAAATAACAGTTCACTTCAATGTGTTGACTCATCGGGATGTTGAATGTAGCAGGAGTGTGTGAGCAGCACATCCTCACACTGATGTTGAGCAAGAAAGAGTGGCTGGACATGTGGAGTCTGGAGCTGCAGCTGTTTTGGAAAATAGCTGTTGTCCTAAATATTCTGGCAGTGTCTCTTCATTTAGTTTATTAATGGTCCCACTGAACTTCCTCAGAGCTTTCTGAACCCTCGGGGCTGCTTAGCTCATCCCAAAAACTGAACTGTTCAGAGACAGAGACATTGTACAGGTGTTTGCAGGGTTGCAGGCATTTTGGTATTTTTAGCCACGCTAGCAGCAGGGCTCTTGGGATGGCAGTGCGGGTTTGTTGGTCAGTTGGTCAGTCTAAAATATCCTGATAACTATTGGGTGGATTGCCATGACATCTTTGACATGATTGAATTGTGGTAGTAGTACAGTAGTAGTAGTGAAAACTGTCATGTACTCAAAGCTAGCATGGGGTGACTAGTCAAATTCCTGTGTTATTTACCTATTTTTGATCAGATATTTACTGATTTAAATATTAACATTGCTATTTCTTACCCCAATCTATTTATTCTATCTGATTATCAAGTTCTTGTATGGCTGCTTGTGTTCCAAAAACAATAAAAGACTTTTATGAGCAGATGAAGAAATTACTAAGTTTGCTTTTATTTATTACTAATGTGCCCTCCACATCCCTATTGTCCTCAGGAGGGTAAGAAGCAGTTTGACAAGGAGACAGAGAGGTACTACTCTGTCCTGGAGAAACACCTCAGCCTGTCCTCCAAAAAGAAGGAGTCGCAGCTGCACGAGGTAAACTGAAACAACCCATAAAAATGCACACCAAGTTCCTCCCACATTTGTTAGGTAATATAAACTACTGTATGTGTGTTGATGCTGTTTTTTGATGCAGGCTGATTCACAGATGAGTAAGGACAGGCAGGTTTTTTATGATGCATCGCTGCAGTATGTCTTCAAGATTCAAGAGGTGCAGGAGAGAAAGAAGTTTGAATTTGTGGAGCCGGTGAGTTCCCATGCTGTACATACACTATGATCGTGTTTATAGGCAACTTTAGGCAACACTGTGTTTTAATGCCGGGATTGGGATACACATTTCGCGTTGTCATTTCATTCCTTCAGATTTTGAGTTGCTGGGCCTTTACAGCTCTGGCCAGTAGAGGGAAAACACATTCAACAATGTTTCATCACAGGAAATTATGACAGAGGAGTCTATGTCGTAAACAATGACGTAAACATCAGGTCATAATTGCAGCCAGGCCAGTAATGACCATGTGTACGTTCAAACATGATCATGGTAAGACGGTTTATCCGGGGTTCTGAAAAACACATTACACACACTACGATAAAAATGTTTTAATGATAGATATCAGTAAAGCCCCCTTCCTGTTGCTGTAGCGGCACTTCCTGTATGGATATCTCTTCCGCCTGACACAGAGGGAAACTCTTTGTTGTAAAGTAAACAAGGGCAGCAACCAAACAACAGGCCGAGTTGGGGTTTTTTCTTTCTCCTTTAGAGGCTGTTTTGATTGATCGAGCAGATGACTGACAATCATTCTTTTGTAATCCTCTCACCATCCTCCTACACTCCCAAGCCCCTAGCTAACATTTTTTCCTGTGGATTTCTCCCTCTGCTCTTCAGTTATTAGCCTTCCTGCAGGGTTTGTTTACATTCTACCATGAGGGCTACGAGCTGGCCAGCGAGTTCGAACCCTATAAGCAGCAGCTTCAGTTCAACCTGCAGAATGTAAGTGTGTATGTTTACCGCAGCCCTCTAGGCCAAATCTGGACCTGACATCTTTTGTAAAAAGTAATTGTAAATGGGTTGTTCTATCTGGTCTACCGTTCCTTTTGAGCCATTAAGAGAAAGTATATAAATGGAAATTTCTGATGCTGCTGGCGTTACCTGTCCCAAAGTGGAAACCTTGCACACCTGATACTTCTGGCATGTTGAAACACACAATGTGAACTACTTTCAGCCACAGCTTGAAGGAAGCCCGGTCTAGTACAGACTTTTACTGGCTAAACTATTCTGGGAAATCAATGTTCATCTTGGATTAACAAATAAGATCATTAAAAAAAACAAACTACATGTATTAAGACTCAGCTGGACTAAGTACCAAACCCCTGACTTACTTTGTTAAAGATTTTGTATGTATGATATAAATAAGTATGCAAGCCTCCATTCAATGCAGTTTCTTTTGTGTATGTATGTTGATCAGGCTCGCAATAACTTTGAAAGTACGCGTGCTGAAGTTGAGAGGCTGATGAAGAGGATCCGTTCTGCAGAGGAAGACTTCAAAGCCCCCAGTTGCTTTACCATGGAGGGATATCTGTACATACAGGAGAAACGTGAGATGCACAAAAATCACATTTTCTCAGTCTCTTTCTCTCCCTTACGCTGTGAAGATAATCAAATGCCAGAATTACACATTCAGACTTTCCTTTGTTAAAACACATGCACAAGTGCACCTGCGTGAAAATATGCATCATGTATTGTAGGTCCATTGGGCAGTGTGTGGACTAGATACTACTGTACGTATGAAAAAAGCTCCAAGATGTTCACCATGAGCAACACGGAGTCCAGACCAGCTAGTAGACAGGTGAGCTGGTGGCACAGATGAATATCCTACCCTGTTTCTGTGCTACAATATCAAAATCTCACACTTTGTCACAAATACCTAGAAGACATTAAGGCCACATGGTCGAGTATATATTGCAAACTCATCTCTCTGTTAACAGAACGGCGTGGTGAATGGTGCACCTGAGATGTTCAGGCTGCGCTCGTGTGTCAGAAGGAAGAGGGATTCAATCGACAAACGCTTCTGCTTCGACATCGAGGTGGTGGAGAGGTACGAGGGACAGATAGACTGAACGGTTGTGTGTCCGTAACACATGACTATCAGTGGAATAAATACACTGGGATATGGCTAGTGTTTAGATGGTGCCGGGTAAAATGAGCTCTCTTTCTCTGCAGACATGGCGTCATCACTCTGCAGGCGCTCTCTGAGGCCAACAGGCGGCTGTGGATGGAGGCAATGGATGGAAAAGAACCTGTATGAATATTTTCACTATTTATTAAAAAGTATTGTTTGATATATATTATTAAAACATTTCTTTTTTCTTTCTTTGTTCAGATTTACACTCTGCCTTCTTTGCTCAGTAAAAAGGAAGAGAGTAAGTGTCCTAATTTATGCTGTTATTGATATGAATTATTTCATAACATCTATTAATCAGAAATGTGGGTTTAAAAACGTCACTGTTTATTTTACAGCATTTCTCAATGAGCCAGGCCTCAACTTTGTTAAGAGGTGTATTGAGCTGGTTGAAACAAGAGGTAAATCTAACTCTGATTAAAATATTTGTAATAAGTATTTATTGTATACATTTTTGAATGATTAAGTATGTTAAAACATGTCTGTATGTGTGTGTGTGTGTGTGTGTGTGTGTGTGTGTGTGTGTGTGTGTGTGTGTGTGTGTAGGCATTACCACCCTGGGACTGTACAGGATTGGAGGAGTTAACTCTAAAGTGCAGCGGTTGATGACAAGTGTGTTTGGTGAGAAACTCTTGGCTTTCTTCTGTATGATGTGGGGAGATTTATTCCACTACCATGAATATCGGGTATATTTAAAAACCCATCACTGCAGTTTAATCATGTATTATCCTTTTTTCCTGTAGCATCCACAGCTCCCTCTGACGTACAGCTGGACGCAGATGCCTGGGACAACAAGACCATCACCAGTGGCCTAAAGAATTATTTCAGGTAAGATACAGTACAAAGCAGTTTTTTTGAATAACACTTCCCATGAATTATACATTTGTGATTTCTCACGTGCATGCAGGTGTCTGGCAGAACCGCTACTGACCTACAGACTGCATAAAGAATTCATCAAGGCTGCAAGTAAGTTCGCTTGATGCCTCTTTCAAAGTACACAGATAGAGCATGATAGACAGTCTGTGGTCATTTTAACAGTGCTTGGATTTAATTTATTTACTACCTCATACAGAGGCACATAATGTCACCCTCTCACCACTGTGTCATATCCCTCTGTACTCTTTCCTTGTTTCACAGAGTATGATGACCAGAAGTACAGAGTGAGAGCGATTCATGCTCTTGTACATAAACTACCAGAAAAAAACAGAGCAATGTTGGACCTCTTAACCAACCACCTCCACAAGTATGTACATATTAACATAAACTTTGCTTTTATAGTTCAGTGCCTTGAAATTGTCCCTTCTGCTTGCTATTTTCTTAAAAAAACATTTGAAAATGCTTCAACCGTGATACTTTATCTAGATTTATGCAAATACTCCTTTAGCCACGGGGCATTTGGAGTGAGAGCTTCCTGTTTACAATTTTCTGTCGGAGGATTGGACAAAAAGTGTACACCATAAAACCCTTTTTGGCTTCATGACAGACGCCTGACAGTCGATTTGTCTGCAAGGAAGGCAAAATTTAAAACATTCATAGTTTAAAGTTCATGCTATGAAAGTTGAAGAGTGAAGTCCGTACATGAAATAGTTGCTAGCAAGACAACTTATTCCAAACTGCAAAGCTTTTAATACTTTTACAGATCGCAGTTAGAATCGACAACTCTTGAATCAACTCTCAAATGCTATCTGACACTTTTTATTTGTCTCTGGTCTTTGATATTAGAAATACATGCTCATCGTGTGTGTGTGTGTGTGTGTGTGTGTGTGTGTGTGTGTGTGTGTGTGTGTGTGTGTGTGTGTGTGTGTGTGCGCGCAGTGTGTCCTCTCACAGCGATCAGAACCTGATGACTGTGTCCAACCTGGGGATGATCTTCGGCCCCACATTGATGAGGTCACAGGAAGAGACGGTGGCGGCCATGATGAACATCAAGTTTCAGAACATTGTAGTGGAGATAATCATTGAAAATCACCACAAGGTACGCTTAAGACACACACACACACACACAGACCTAAACAGACATGTACCTAACAGACATGTACACTGTTTGTTCCTGTCAGATTTTTGGTGAGGCCCCAGACCTGTCAGTGCCGCTACCTCAGGCTCCGTCCTCTCGGTCGACTCCTCGTAGGAACAAGGCCATCTGTCTATCATCGGGAAAGAGGAGGGCTCGTCTCTACCCTCCGGCTCTTTGTCTGGCAGACAATGACAGTGAGTCTCTCTGAAGCTTTATCTCATCACTCATGAATACCTTTTTACTCCATTTATCTGACTGCTATAGCTGCTAGCTATCTTTCAGATTTAGATTTTACATGAAAAAAACATTTTAGTTGTTAGAAGTTTAGTTTAGATAACTGTTCAAAGCCCAGAGGTATTGTATTGTATTTAAATAAAAGGTTAGAGAATAGTCAAAAAATGTATACAATTTTGTGTAGAGGAATTTAGTTCACAACCCCTCAGATTTACCTTGTGACCAAGACTAAACTAACTGCATACAAAGCTGTTGAACTGAAGATATTATTATTATTAAATTGAGCACATTTGTCGTTTTGCAGTGCAGTATCATGCTAGTTCTCCAAACTCAGTTATTAAAGCTTCAACCAAGCACCCTAATGCACCAACACAGAAGACTTTTCATAGCAGTCTGTGCTCACAACTGCTTTACGGTGCAATTAAAACACGACATTGTCAAAATGTTTCCAAAAAGTACACTTTGTAAAATGCTTGAATGTAATAAATTACACAAATGAGTTAATAGCTAATACAAGAGCAATCCATTCAGCCTCCTTGATGTCATCAGTCTGAGTACGTAACTTGTTTTTTCCCTCCAGGTGACACATTCAGCAGCAGCTCCAGCACGACTCCGATGGGCAGCCAGGAATCTCTGTCCTCACACTCCTCTGAAAAGAACGGATTGTCTCAGGTCTCTCCTCCGTCCTCTCCCGCTGCCGAGCCCAGCTTGTCCTCCACAGCACAGGTGTCTCCTTCCGCGTCTTCCTCCTGCTCCACGTCTCACAACTCGCCGAACAGGAAGGATCAGAAACACCCGACAGACAGCGCCTCTTCCCCTCACCTCATGCCGTCCTCTTCCTGGACTTCCTCCCAGCTCACTCCGGCCCAGCAGACTTCCTCTGTGTCCTCCTCCACGTCCTCTTTACTCTCTGCAGAGAGGACTCTGTCCGTCAAAGGAAACTCGACTGCCTCCTTGTCATCAGTAAAAGAGTCAGGATCTCCCTCCGTAGCCTCCTCGTCCACCGCCTCTATCCAGGACTCTTCAGTGGAACGTGCCTCCTCTCTCAGGGAGGGTCGACCTGTGCAGAGAGTGTCGTCCGTCTCCTCGCTGAAGAGCACTCATTCGGTGGATCAAAAAAATGCCTCCTCCTCTGTCACAGAAACCAGAGTGACGGACTCTACCTCTCCCCCTCAGCAGCACAGAAAAACGTACAGGACTGCCTCCTCCTCGTCTTCCTCCTCCTCTTCATTATTTCCTTACCAGCTTTCCACGTCTTCCTCTCTCACCTCTCTACACATCTCTGAAGGTGAGTGCACCTCTGTAGAAGTTTACGCATCCATCACTTCCCGGTTTATGTTCGGTTCTGATTTATTGGGTTCTATCGCAGATTACAAAAGCTGCCATGGATCGGTGCGGAGTCTCATGTCGCTGGACACACAAGAGGCAACACACAAGCGTAAAACCTCACACGTCCGCTGCAGCTCTGATCTGAACGCCAAACACTCTGCAGCCACAACAGCCAGCAATGGTTACCAGAAGCCTGGATCAGTGTGAGTGTCTGTAAAATGTATTTTATATTTGAGACGACAATGTGCTGTAATCATACAGCACTTGTGCTGCAGCCTTTGATCTGTGCTCTCAGAGAAAGAAAGGATATAAAGATCTCAGTCTATGGATGGTTTAGCCCTGGAGAAAACAAGAGCACGTGGTAGGTTAAAGAAACAGCCATGTGCTCCGATTATCTCCTGGCCTCATCTACCCATTGATAAAATACTGAACCACTGGTTTGGTTTTACTGAAACCGAGGTATGACACATGTTGGCACAGTGAATGGTATTTAAAAAAATATTTTCATGAAAGGTTTTTTTCTTTTTAAAGTATAATTTAGGAAGAAAACTGTTTAACTGCTTTGTTTTTAGATGCTGACATGCTCATTCACTCTCTCTCTCTGTAGCAACTGGAGAATGTATTCAGTCACTTTTGTGTTTGTGTGTTGCAGATTATCAGTCAGACTGCAGCAGCGTGAGAGCTCAGTATTCTCCTCAGCATTAGACATTTGTTCCTCAGGAAAGTAAGTTGATTTTGAGGGTTGTTTGTGGCACAATCCTTTTTAACTTTCACTTTCTAAATTACTCTTTTAACTGATTCACTAATGTTTTGACTTAGGGAAGCAAAGGCTCTTTACTCCTGTGAGGCAGAGCACAGTCATGAGCTCAGTTTTCCACAGGGGGCGCTGTTCTCAAATGGTAAGAGAACCACTCAGGTTTCATTTCCCCAGTTACACCTACATCATGAGATCACAGATGTGATGTTAATTGACTTGATACAAGGATTCCCTGAAGAATACAACATAATTTTTTTATGTCTCTTTTTTAACACATTTCCTGTAATTTATTTAGAAATATTTTAAATATTTTTTATGTTTAGGAACTTCCTGATCTGAACTAGAATTTATTTAAAAAGGACTGTGAGCCTCAATAATGCTTGGCTACTTAACGTGTCTTTATATTAATGATTGGACAGTTGCAGTTTACTGATAATGTATTCTGATCATTGTGTACAGTTCAGTGCACTACATTGTAAATCTGTGGTATCCTAACATCACCAGCATTAACTATAAGACTTTATATAAGATGAACTTATTGTGTTGACTTGCTGAGTTGTTTGTGTCTGCAGTGTACCCGTCTGTGGAACCAGGTTGGCTTCAGGCGACGTACAACGGCAAAACAGGCCTCATACCTGAAAACTACATCACATACATGTGACACACCTGATGATGTCACCACCACATCACAGAATAACACACAGATGAAACTTTAGGGATCTACAGTGCAGTAATACAGTAATACTAAAAGATACAATATATTTATCATGTAACTGTGACTGTTATCACTGAACTACTGGGGCTGGATATGAATGATGTATGTACTGTATATCTGACTACTATATGTGAACCATGTTATGTGTTAGTAACCAGTTTATAGTACAGTAGATGTTGAAATCTGACTTTTCATCCATTCATATGTGATGGTTTCACTTAATCAACGTTATCAGCTCCTCTTTTATGTTTGTGTCCAGTGGTCTTCCTGCACGTCTGAGGATGCTATAAATACATAAAATGTGTCTGCGACGTACGTTGAAACAGTATTTTTCTATCAATCTTGGTAATTTATGTGTTTGTAAATGATCATATTGATGTTATAGCTGTGTGTCCTGAACAGTATGAACTGGTTGTCTTAAGACTGAATCCTACCATAACATTTTCCCTCTTCTGTCTGTCAGTTTTCATGCTGTCTAAATAAACCTTAACCTTACCTTACCTTACCTTAAGAAGTCTGTTTGTATGTATGTAGTTTATGTTTATTATTATTTTCTATGTTCATTATGCATTTTCCGCAATGACCCTGTTTTATCATATACAGAACAACCTTGCTGATTATTTTGAAGGTTCAGTGTGTAACATTTAGGAGGTTCTTTTGGCTGAAATGTAATATAATATTCATAGATATGAATTAAGTAGTGTATAATCATCTGAAAATTATGTTAGAATAAGACGTTTTTATCGTTTTTTATAGTTGAACCGCTATATTTCTACAGTTGCCCAGAAGGGACAAACCAAACGCTGGCTTTAAATAGGGACGTTTGTGTTGTGCACACGTTTCGCAGTCACCGTAGTTTTTCCCTTGCACTCGGAAGGGGAGATTAAAGCGATGGATGTGTGATCTGGATGCCACTTAATCCTACTAAGTGAACCTTTAATCATTGTTCATATTCCAGATATGAGGATTAGTGCTGTATGTAGTGTTGATACAGCCTGTTTGTACTTTAAATTGCAGGAGAAATGAAAGTAATCTGCAAATTATATGTACTTGTATAACTAAATGTTTTAACGTGTGCATCCATGTGTTTAAATGTTGTTTGTCCAAATTAAAATGATTTATAATGGACTGCATTTGTGGTAGGTGAGGTAGGACAAAAACTGTACATTATTATACATTATTAACATATAAATCACATGTAATCATGCAATCAATAAGCTTTATTTTAATTTTATATTCACATAATACATTCTCATTTCATTATATTGATGTTTTGTCACTATCGTACTGTATCTACATTCAGTGATGAAGACCAGGTACTTAAAACTCTTCACAGTGTTATGAACAAGTCGGAGCGACTGACAGTGCTACTGCATAGGTGTATTGATCTCTCCCAGCCTCCTCAGCAGTCCGTCCAGTGTCTCCGTGTTCTGTGATTTCTCCTCCAGCAGCTCGTATCGCAGACTGGAGATGTCCTGCTTGATCTCCTTCAGCTCACCTGAACAAAAACAGGCACAAAGGTGTAAAAGAAAAGTTTTTAAAGTGGATACAGCAGATTCAGTTTCATTATAGTTGTGTTGATTTTACCTTCTGTGATCTTGTCGCTGTCTCTGTCTGCCTGGGCTTTGATAATGTAACGCTTTATCAGTCGCTTCATGATCTTCTGCAACCAATGTTGGAAGTACAGTTAACAATACTATAATGGGGGAAAATATATGGAAAAAAATAGTCCCACAATCCAATTTTGGTTTAGGTAAAATGTTTATAGTCCAGACTCTTTCAGAAAATTATTCAACTGTTGCATTAACATGTTTGCTTTCTATAAAAAACCAATTCTGCAGCAACTGCAGCTGAGTAAAAATGAGTAAATGTTGTGAAACACAAACACACACACACACACCCACACACACACACACACACACACAAATACATACCTGATATCTGGTTGGCCTAGTAGAAGTACCAAATGAACCACAATTTTTGCCTGCTCCGAGCTGGAAGATTAAGCTATAATTAATGAATTTTGACATTTCTCAGGTTAAACTTGTCTTCAGGTCTGAGGTGGAGCCTGTGGTGCAGCAGTAAAACCACTGGGAGGCGCTCAGGTTCCGCCTTTAAAGCCCCACATGGTAGTATCATGCATCATGGTTTTATGAATTAATATTGCACAAGCTGAGAATGGATAAGTGCTGTGTGTATACATCCATATTGTGGGGTACCTGGTTGAGTTGTGTCTCAGTTTTCTCCTCCCTGTGTCCGGCCACATGCTGCAGGAGCAGGGACTTGATGGCCGTAGCCAGTCCCAGCATAGACTTTGGACTGGGGACCAGGTTAAAGGGCACAGGGAGCGTCCTTCCCTCCTCAAAGTAGGAGAACCAGAGTTTGGCCCGAGCAAACTTCCACTCAACATCAGCATCATCCTAAAGAAAAGACGGGAAACAAACTGGTTGGAGAAGAAACCGCAAACACACCACCAGCGCCACCGTAGCTACTTTGATACAGACTTACTGAACAGTTGCAGAAATATATTTGTTAATGTTTTCTTGCTGAGTTAGATAAAAAGATCAACATCACTCTCGGGCCTGTACGGTAAATAAATAGGTGGAGCCAGCCGCCTGTTAGCTTAGCTTAGCACAAAGACTGGAGGCAGGGAAACAGCAGCTCATCTAAAGCTCACTAATCAACATGTTAATTATCTTGTTGGTTTAGTCCATTTAAAAATTAAGTTCTGTTTTTTCATGCCCAAATATTTCTTCCTTTGGAGTAGTGATGTCCTAGACCACAGAGTATCGACAGCCAGGCTAGCTGTTTCCCCCTGTTTCCAGTCTTTGTGCTAAGCTAAGCTAACAAGCTGCTGGCTGAAGCTTCATATTTAGCCCACAGACATGACCGTGGAATCAATTTTCTCATTTAACTCTCTGCAAGAAAGTGGATAACCATACTTCCCAAAATGTCGAACAATCAACAAATCAAAACACAAAAATTCTAAAAAGCATTTACTGTGCTAGCCAATAAAAAAGAAAAGTAAATTAAAATGCAAAGGGTTTTTTATAGCTAAAAGTGGTTGTAGGTAGATTTTGTATATTTCATAGGGACCCCTTGATCTAAATGTATTGAACAAGCCTCATTTTAGATAAAACAGTGACGGATAAAGTGGTTTAACTAAATTTTTACTCCTTAAATAACATTACTCCTCTCCCGCCAAAAACTGAAAAAAATATTTGAACTACATGTGAAGGTTGGTAATGCTTCTTCAGGACATTGTCCATAACTGTGAGCTTGTATCTGAAGCACATTACGATTGTAGTATCGATGACGAACCTCAATCTCCTGGAAGGAACTGTTAATCATGGCGATGAGCATGTTGAGCAGCACTATCACCATGGTAACGTTGTAAACCCCGTACAGCACGTAACCAATGTTCTCGATGAATTTGTGTCCGTTATTGATTACGACAGACCTGACCTCGGACAGCCCGAATATAGCCCAGAACAAGGTCTTGAAGCTCTCCTCAAGGCTGGACGGACACACAGAGAAGGAAAGGGAGGGAGACGAGAGGAAAGTTATTTTTGAACTAAAACAAACCATTAATCACCAGAACGTTAAAGATGTTCTGTGAGAAAAGCAACAGAAGATTAAAAAAGTTTGATACATTTCTTCATTGATTTCTAAGTTTTTGGGTAGCTATAGATTTCCATTCATTTGAATACAACTTACTTAAGATTGGTAATCCATCTTATAATATTTATTTTCCCGTTTAATAGCTGTGTCAAAAATGCAGCTGCAAGTGTTTTTAAAGCAGTGGTTACCAACTATGGGGCCTGCAATGGATATACAGTTGTGCTCATAAGTTTACATACCCTGGCAGAATTTATGATTTCTTGGCCATTTTCCAGAGAATATGAATGATAACACAAACACTTTTCTTTCTCTCATGGTTAGTGGTTGGGTGAAGCCATTTATTATCAAACAACTGTGTTTACTCTTTTTAAATCATAATGACAACAGAAACTACCCAAATGACCCTGATCAAAAGTTTACATACCCCAGTTCTTAATACCATTTATTGCCCCCTTTAACATCAATGACAGCCTCAAGTCTTTTGTGGTAGTTGTGGATGAGGCGCATTATTTCCTCAGATGGTAAAGCTGCCCATTCTTCTTGGCAAAAAGCCTCCAGGTCCTGTAAATTCTTAGGCTGTTTTGCATGAACTGGGTTAGGGGTTAGGGTTAGGGCTCAATGATATTGAGGTCAGGAGACTGAGATGGCCACTCCAGAACCTTCACTTTATTCTGCTGTAGCCAATGACAGGTCGACTTGGCCTTGTGTTTTGGATCGTTGTCATGTTGGAACGTTGAAGTACGTCCCATGCACAGCTTCTGGGCTGATGAGTGTTAATTTCCCTCCAGTATTTTCTGATAACATGCTGCATTCATCTTGCCATTCATTTTGACCAAGTTTCCTGTGCCTTTGTAGCTCAGACATCCCCAAAACATCAGCGATCCACCTCCGTGTTTCACAGTAGGAATGGTGTACCTTTCATCATAGGCTTTGTTGACTCCTCTCCAAATGTAACATTTATAGTTGTGGCCAAGAAGTTCCATTTTAGTCTCATCACTCCAAATGACTTTGTTCCAGAAGTTTTGAGGCTTGTCTCTGTGCTGTTTGGCGTATTGTAAGCAGGATGCTTTGTGGCATTTGCGTAGTAATGGCTTTCTTCTGGCGACTCGACCATGCAGCCCATTTTTCATGCATCTTGAAACAGCCACAACACTTTTTTTCAGAGAGTCCTGTATTTCAGCTGAAGTTATTTGTGGGTTTTTCTTTGCATCCCGAACAATCTTCCTGGCAGTTGTGACTGAAGTTTTTGTTGGTCTACCTGACCGTGATTTGGTTTCAACAGAATCCCTAATTTTCCACTTCTTAATTAGAGTTTGAACACTGCTGATTGGCATTCTCAATTCCTTGGATATCTTTTTATATCCCTTTCCTGTTTTATACAGTTCAATTACCTTTTCCACAGCTCAGAAACTCACTGACCTTTTATATACACACACTGATTACAAGCAAACAGATCACAGGTGAGGATGGTTACCTTTAGTAGCCATTCAAACCTGTTTGTGTCAACTTGTGCATGTGCATGTTATCAGGCCAAAATCTCCAGGGTATGTAAACTTTTGATCAGGGTCATTTGGGTAGTTTCTGTTGTCATTATAATTTAAAAAGAGTAAACACAATTGTTTGACAATAAATGGCTTCACCCAACCACTAACCATGAGTGAAAGAAAAGTTTTTCTCTTATCATTCATATTCTCTGAAAAATGGCCAAAAAATTGCAAATTCTGCCAGGGTATGTAAACTTATGAGCACAACTGTATCTGAGTGGGTCACAATATGATTAAAGGGATTAATAAAAGATAACAATCTGATCATTTCAATTTATTGTGTAATTTTGCTTTTATGTTTTTAATATTTTTATCTCTTCCGGCCTAGAAAAATCCCTCA